AGATTCAGATCATGCCCTAGTGCGAGCGCGTGTTAGTTTGAAGCTTACTGGACGTACGAAGGACACCGTAAGGAAGCCTCTTAGGGTTTTACATAATGATAATGAGGCTAAGAATATATTTCAAGAACAACTAGAAAAACAGTTAGGCGACCATGTAGGCGATTCCCATCCGGAAGCAGGTTGGAATGATATCAAAAAGGCTGTGGGAACAGCAGTGATATCTGCTAGTAACGTAAATCATAAGGCTAGAATGAAGCCGTGGATCTCAACAGCATCTACCAATCTCATGGATGCTCGAAAACTCATCTCGCCTGGCTCTGAGTGCGATTAGGAGCGCAGACAGCTCAGACGTAGGCTGATAAAAAGCCTACGCAATGATCGAGAACAGTGGTGTGTGGAAAAAGCGACAGAGATGGAAAAGGCAGCGGCGGAGACTGGACCGATGGACAGAACACTTTAAGAATCAGTTCAACTGGCCTCGAGCCACTCTTCGCTTACCCACGATCTCCAGTCATCCTGAATGGCAAATCGACGTAAGTCCCTCTAGTCTTAATGAAGTTGAGAAAGCGTTAGCAAATCTGAAGCGAGGGTGAGCTGCGGGTCCTGATAGACTGACCCCTGAGATATTTAAGGATGGTGGTCCAGTTTTAGCAGCTAGGTTGACTGAGATCTTAGGCAGAATCTGGGAAATGGACGTAATCCCATCCGACTGGCCTCAATCACTGATTGTCCCAATCTACAAGAAAGGACAAAAGTCTTCTCGTGACAATCACAGGGGAATCAGTCTAACTAATATAGTATCGAAAATATTGGCCTCAGTAATACTTCGACGCTTAACGAAAGCTCGTGAAGAGCAAACTCGAGAACACCAGGCTAGTTTTCGACCTGGACGTGGTTGTATAGACCACATCTTCACACTACGACAGGTCCACGAACACACACACACTTAGGCGTCCTACAATAGTTGTTTTCCTAGACCTTAAGGCGGCATTTGACTCTGTGGATCGTGAGGTTCTGTGGCAGTGTCTGTCATTGAAAGGTGTACCAAAGAAGTACATTAACCTTATTCAAGCTCTCTACTCGAACACCACTCCCGACCGTAGCTGCTACCTTGACGTGGTGGTCAGGCTTGCCTATCGTGATGACCCAACCGAGCTATACTGGCTGGAACATATGTTCCTGAAGGTTCTACCATGCCAGGCAGGTCGATTGGTGAACGATCAGACTAAAAGCAACTACCCAAGGTCTGAGGGCGAAGTCGTACTGCCGACTGACTGCAGAGGGGTGTGACAGCAGTAAGGTGTTTCCCTCGGATAACCAGCATCTGCAACGACGCTGCCTTCTCACAAGGAAGGAAGGGTTAGAAAAGGTCGACCCTAAAAATGTCACACCTCACCCTACCTCACGGATTTCCGTCTCCGTCGGTAAGGGTGCCCACTAAGGGCCTTTAAGAGCGGAGCTAATCCTCAAAAAACCCTTCATAAAAAGGCCGTGCGTGACCGGCCTCAAGCAGTTGTCCCTTGGACTCTGCGGTCACGCTCCCAGGTCTCCAAGACCAACACTAATCTATCTTCCTTTTCAGGTCCCTCAAGAAACAACCTTACACGGTGTGGGCAGCCGGGAAGTGACAACCGCCCTCATACCCGTAACAGCACGAGAGACCAAATTGGTCGAAATCAAATCCTTCCTACACCCACACATACCTCTCTTCTCTCCACAACGAACTCTACTCACAGTCCCTTTTCTCACTGCACCGCTAATGCAGACGAAGCGAGTTCACGAAACGTCATTCCTGGTCTCTTGAAACCCCGTTCTAGACTACATGTTGGAGCTTTTAATGTACGGACATTGTGTCAAATAGGGCAACAAGCTTCCTTAGCTAGGACTTTAGAATCTCGTGCCATCGATGAATGCTGCGTCTCGGAAACGCTCATACAGGGTCCGAGTAGCGTCATTCACTTGACCTCACCATGTCAAGATAAAGAAGCAACTCGATTTACCCTCCGTGTATCTGGAAGCCCTGATGCTGCTTCCAGGGGTCTTGCTGTCGTGGGCATAGCATTAAGTCGTAGAGCTGAACAATCTCTCCTTGACTGGATCCCAGTAGATAGTCGCTTGTGCGCTGTCCGACTTAACGGAACAGTAGGGACTCGGAAGGATAGGGACACTCGCCGTTGCCTCTTCGTCATATCTGCCTATGCTCCCACTGACTGCAGTTCAGACGAGGTTAAAGATGAGTTTTACACAAAGCTTTCGGACCTCCTCCAAAAAGCTAGGCGCTCTGATATATTAATAATAGCTGGTGACTTTAATGCTCAAGTAGGTAGACTGAGTGAAAATGAAAGACACCTAGGTGGATGTTATGGTGTCGCGGCTCAGAAAACAGACAATGGCGAACGTCTGTTGCAACTATGCTCAGATAACCGCCTATTCCTGGCAAACAATAACTTTAGGCATAAGGAAAAGCATCTCTTGACCTGGCGACCTCCAAAGTCGTCTCAACGTTGGACCCAACTAGATCACGTTGCCGTCAGCCACCGATGGAGGGGTTCGATAGAGGACTGTCGCTCGTTCTGGAGCACATGCTTAGATTCAGATCATGCCCTAGTGCGAGCGCGTGTTAGTTTGAAGCTTACTGGACGTACGAAGGACACCGTAAGGAAGCCTCTTAGGGTTTTACATAATGATAATGAGGCTAAGAATATATTTCAAGAACAACTAGAAAAACAGTTAGGCGACCATGTAGGCGATTCCCATCCGGAAGCAGGTTGGAATGATATCAAAAAGGCTGTGGGAACAGCAGTGATATCTGCTAGTAACGTAAATCATAAGGCTAGAATGAAGCCGTGGATCTCAACAGCATCTACCAATCTCATGGATGCTCGAAAACTCATCTCGCCTGGCTCTGAGTGCGATTAGGAGCGCAGACAGCTCAGACGTAGGCTGATAAAAAGCCTACGCAATGATCGAGAACAGTGGTGTGTGGAAAAAGCGACAGAGATGGAAAAGGCAGCGGCGGAGACTGGACCGATGGACAGAACACTTTAAGGATCAGTTCAACTGGCCTCGAGCCACTCTTCGCTTACCCACGATCTCCAGTCATCCTGAATGGCAAATCGACGTAAGTCCCTCTAGTCTTAATGAAGTTGAGAAAGCGTTAGCAAATCTGAAGCGAGGGTGAGCTGCGGGTCCTGATAGACTGACCCCTGAGATATTTAAGGATGGTGGTCCAGTTTTAGCAGCTAGGTTGACTGAGATCTTAGGCAGAATCTGGGAAATGGACGTAATCCCATCCGACTGGCCTCAATCACTGATTGTCCCAATCTACAAGAAAGGACAAAAGTCTTCTCGTGACAATCACAGGGGAATCAGTCTAACTAATATAGTATCGAAAATATTAGCCTCAATAATACTTCGACGTGAAGAGCAAACTCGAGAAAACCAGGCTGGTTTTCGACCTGGACGTGGTTGTATAGACCACATCTTCACACTACGACAGGTCCACGAACACACACACACTTAGGCGTCCTACAATAGTTGTTTTCCTAGACCTTAAGGCGGCATTTGACTCTGTGGATCGTGAGGTTCTGTGGCAGTGTCTGTCATTGAAAGGTGTACCAAAGAAGTACATTAACCTTATTCAAGCTCTCTAGTCGAACATCACTTGTCGAGTGAGAGCTTGTGGCGAGCTGCCACCGGAATTCTTTACTTCAACTGGTGTTCTCCAGGAATGCCGATGATATAGTTCTACTAGGTGAAGACGCAGACAAACTGCAGTGTCTTTTGACTACCCTAAGCAACAATGCCAGCATGTTCGGGATGCTATTTTCTCCCTCGAAATTTAAAAGAATGCTTCAATATTGGGTTTCTTCGGCACCTGAACTAGTGATAGGGAGTGAAGTAGTCGGACGTGTAGACCGCTTCACTTTTCTGGGGAGTCTCATCAGTCCTGATGGCCTGGTGACTGACGAAATCTCGGCACGGATACAGAAGTCTCGATTGGCTTTTGCCAACCTGCGTCACTTATGGCGTAGGCGAGATATCCGTTTGCTGACTAAAGGACGAGTGTACTGCGCAGTGGTTCGCTCTGTCTTACTTTATGGCTGTGAAACATGGCCAATGAGAGTAGAAGATACTCGACGGTTATTGGTTTTCGATCATAGGTGTCTTCGAAGCATTGCTCGTATATCGTGGGACACCCGAGTTAGCAACGCTGTTATTAGGAAACGGGTGCTAGGTAAGAATGGCAGATCAATCGATGAAGTGGTGAAACTTCATCGGTTGAGGTGGTTGGGACAGGTGCTGCGTATGCCTAACCAGCGACTGCCTCGACGAACTTTGTTTTGCAGTGTAGGAGTAAATTGGAAGAAAGCTAGGGCCGGCCAGACCAAAACATGGCAGAAATCCATGAAGTCACTGACAAGTGGGCTGAGTCATGTCTGTAGTTGTCGACTACCTGGTTGGGGTCTGCGAGATAATAATAATTGATGGTTAGAGACCCTGAATGAAATGGCATTTATTCTATGTGTTCTATCAAATCCTAATCTTCTGGATTCTTCAACACCTCTAGTTTTGTCTTTCTAAACTTATCTCACTGAATCATACTTCTTGAATAATATCCTCTAATACTAACCTCTACGATTACTTCTAATACCTTGACTACCTCAACTACTATTGGATTTGGATTGACAATCACATCTCTGTGCTAATGTGGTATGGCAACATGAACTGATGTACTTACGTACGAAGTTCTACGTTGCATCTGACTGACCGACTGTAAAAGTGAGTCTCGCTCAAGTTTCCGCAAGCTTCCATTGCAACAAAGCCAACTCTACTTTCTAATAATATGAAGTGCTTGGTGCAATCTGCTGCTCTATACTGAATATTAAAAACGTAGCTATCCACTCAGAAACTTGAAAGGTGCAAAATGTTTTATAATTTTCTCTTAATGAGCTTAGAAAACTGAATTTATTCAGCATCCTTACCTAATATGACTAAGCCAATTAGTGAATTATCCGTTACAGTAATGCCTATAAAGAACAAACAAAGTGTCCAATCGAACATTTTATAAAAAAGTTTAATGTAAACATGGAAACTTAACATTTGCGAGTATTATCACCAGTTGCATCTTTCACATAGCTCCAAAATTCATTTTAAATAAGTATGAAACTAGGAAGCTAATAGTCTAATGGTACAATTATAAATTAACTGTTGTGACGTGATGTTGACTAATAAAAGCGTTTGAGTATCTGAAAAATATTCAGTAATTTGACTAGGTGCTAATTGTTATACTTTCGCAATCACAGGAGTATAAAACTTAAATTGTGGAGAATATACAGCTTACAAAGAGAATTTAGAAAAACAAGTGCAAGTCAATTTATCATTATTTTACAATGGTATGAATTTTTCAATTACAAATAAATGGATCTGCATAAAATCTCCTGCTTTTCATCCTTAAACAAGCCTTATTCCAGGAATTCAGTTGCTCACTTGCGTTAGAGTGAATCCTCGTCTGAATCGATAGCTGCACGACGACGATCGAACTAAGTAAATGCAAATCGCGAAACTAGAAATTGAAATATCCTACCTTTATTGTGGTGGACTTCCGTGTGCCGGAAGAAACCTGCAGGAGGATCTGTTTTAACTGCTCTTCATTCAGCTAAAACGAGTTTAATATGAGAAAAATGCTAAAGAGCACCATTAATTATAAACAACGAAACAGAATGAAACTTTAATTTGCAAATTGTTGTAAATTGTATAAATGTATGATCAGTAAGGAATTTAATTACACTACGACAAAAAAGCAAAACTACTCTGGAAGCAACTCAGGGATGCAGATATACCTGGTTGAAGAGACCAAAATACAACGAAACGCGCGTCTTGGATTCCACTGCTAGCCACTATCCAACTACGTTTTCGACTAAGAGATAAGTTTTGATTAAAGCAACCGAAGCTTTAAACCCCTTTCTTTGAACATCTACTACTGGTGCATACAAACAGCTACAAGTAAGTCACAGTGAAAACAGTCTATGTAAGAGAATCACTTATAACAACAATGACAATCTAATTAGTATGGCTACTTTGAAATCGGTTCCACAGAAATAATATTTGAAAATGTCCAATTTGTCGAATCGTCTTAAAACACCAAATGGGAAGGAACGACCTTTTAGAGCTAAACGATGGAGTGGTGGAGGACGATGAGACTGAAAGCAGCTACTCACGTTCTGAGGGTAAAGTCGTACTAGTGACTATAGAAGGGGGTGACAGCAGTAAGGAGTTTCCCTAGGACAACCAGCATCTGCCGCGCTGCCGCCTTCTCACAAGGAATAAAGTAAAGGAGTTAGAAAAGGTCGACCCTGCAGTCACGCTATCAGGCCTTTAAGACCAACGGTAACCTACCTTCGTTTTGAGGCTCCTCCGGAAACACCCGTCCACGATGTAGGCGTTTAGTAAATGACATCCGCTCTCATACCTGTAACAGCAGAGGAGACCGAATAGGTATCAATCAAATCATTCCTACACCCCTGACATCACTCTTATCTCTATGACTAACCCTTCTCGCATTGCTTTATTACTCCTCACTGTGAAACGTTATCCCTAGTCTCCTGAAACCCCGTTCTAAACTACATGTTGGAGCTTACAATATCTGGAAATTGAGTCGAATAGGACAACAAGCTTCCTTAACTATGACTTTAGAATCTGGAGCCATCGATGTAAGCTCCGTCTCCAAAACGTGCATACAGGATCCGAGTAGCGTCATTCATTTGACCTCACCTTGTCAAGAAAGAGAATCAACTCGGTTTACGCTTCTTGTGTCTAGAAGCATTGATGTTACTTCGCGTGGCCTTGCTGGTGTAAGTATAGCATTGAGTCTTAAGGTAAGACTGAATCTCCTAGACTGGATCCTTGTAAATACTCGTTTGTGCACTGTCCGACTAAAGGGGACAGTAATGACCTGGATAGATAATTAGAGAACAGTTAGGCAGCTATGTAGTAAGTGATGCATACCCCGAGGCAGCTTGGAACGATATCAAAAACGCTGTGCAAAATGCAGTGATATCTGCTAGCAAGGTAATCCACAAGGTTAGGGATAAGCCGTGCATCTATCTCAGTAGCATCTGCCGAACTGATATATGCTCGCAAGCTCATCCTGTCTGGCTCTGAACATGACGAAAAGTGAAGTCAGCTTAGGCGTAGGCTCATAAACAACTACATGATGGTCGCGAACAGTGGTGGGTAGCGGAAGCAAGAGTGATGGAAAAGGTAGAGCTTATAAGTAGCAGCAGATAACTGTTCCGCCTCATCTTCTATTTGTTTTCAAAACTATCTCGGAGAAGGGTTGTGGTATCAGTTAAACGCAACCCAGTATACTAAATGGATGGGCAGAACACTTCAAGGATCAACCCAACTGTTGTTCAGCCACACCTCGCTTACCCACGATCTCCAATCATCCTGAATGTCAAACCGATGTAGGCCTCTCTAAACGGGCTCTTTACTCGCACACTACTGGTCAAGTTAGAGCTTATGGTGAACTATCATCGAAAATCATTACATCAAGTGGTGTCCAGTAAGGATGTACACCATCTTTGTCAATGACTTGGTTTTACAGGGAACAATATCCTTGTTTGACCGGACCTTCTACCAGAAGACTGACCTGTTGACTTAGAGTATACCGATGACATAGTTCTACTTGGTGAAGACGCTGACAAAATGCAGTCCCCTAACCACCTTAGGCAACAGTGAAAGCATGTTTGAGATGCGATTCTCCCTGTCGAAATGCAAAACTTCGCTTAGAGATTGGGTTGTATCGGCACCTAAACTAATGATAGGGAGTGAAGTAGTTGAGTGCGTTGATTGCTTCAGTTGTCTTCGGAGTCTCATCATCATCTGGTGTGACGAAATCTTAGCATGACAGGACGCCCGATTGGCTTTTGCCGACTTGCGTCACTTATGAGATAACGAGACATCTGTTTTCTGACTAAAGGACAAGTGTACTGCGCAGCAGTTCACTCCATCCTTCTATACGGATGCGAAACATGGCCGGTAAGAGCAGGAGATTTTCGTCGGCAACTAGTTTTCGCTCACAAGTGTCTTCGAAGCATTGCTTGTGTATCAAGGGACAACCGAGTAAGCAATGTTGCTGTTAGGAAACGAGTACTAGCTTTGTCTATCAAATCAATTGACGAAGTATTCAAGCCTCATCAGTTGAGGCAGTAGTGACGTGTGTTACGAATGCCCAAGCACAGACTGCCTCGTCGAGCTTTGTTTTGTGGTGTAGTAGGTTGGAAGAATGCAAGGGTCGGCCAAACCAAAGGCAGAAATCCATGAAGTCGCTGACACGTGGACTTAACCATGTTGGTAGGTGTAGACTGCACGGTCAGGGTAGCGAGATTATGGTAATTGATTATTAGAAACCCTGACTGACATGGCTCAGAATCGTTTGCAATAGCTCACGAGCATCCACTCTGTGTTCTTGCGAATTCTAATATTTGGAATTCATCATCACATCCACCTTTCTGTTTAGAAATTTAACTCATTGAATTATACTTCTCGAATGATATCTTAGAACCCTTATCTTCTCCATCACTTTAAATACTTCTACTCTCTATACCAGTATGAGATTAGAACTGACAACTGCTAGTCTGTGCTAATGTGGCATGGCAACCCGAACCTATGTACGAATGAATGACTGACTAAATGCCAGCTGTCCATAAAATAATCAAACATTTATCGATAGAACTAATTGATATGACACTTAGAATATACTGGAACGCGTCAACTACGGGATCAACTGTCAATATTTACTACCAAACCCACAGAATTTTATGCATACTCAGAATACCTTTGATGCAATACGTCCAGTTTGAGCCATGTTGATGAGCAAATTTTCAACCATTTTAGCTTTCTCTGGTTTCGTGATGGCAACAGTATTTACTGTGAATAGGAGCTGCATGATGAAAGAACTTACAACGAGCTCTCGCATCTTGGTCAAGGATTTGAGCTAGGATACTGGCACGAATTTCCTGATTCCTTTTTTCTGAATCTTCCTTTTGCTTTGAATCTTTCTGAAGGCAATAATAAACCCAAAATAAGAACAAACATCATCATTAGGCTCGACACTAGGGATCATAGCAGCATGAAAACAACCTTGAAGAAATAGCCTTCAGTCACAAGCAAGCAACGTTATCATTCAAACACCGCCAATAAGGGAATTAACAATTTCAAATGTCTCCCTTATATTTTCCTGTAACTCAGGATGAATGATCCCAGGTGCCACGGTATATTTTCTGATGGTTTGTCCTCCAATCCTAGCACCTACTAAATTGCTCGTCTCAGCACACCATCCAGGTGAATGACCCTTTTATTGAGACGGATGCAATGACGTTAAATAATACACCTATGAAGTTTCCAAATGTTACGTAGTCGCCGTGTCTGACTCGAATTTAGAGACTTCAGCCTCACCAGTATATTTGTGCAATAACTCGCACATTTATATGATCAAAATTTAATATTGCAAAATTTGATGCGTCAGTTAGATTTCAGAAACCTTAACCATTTGAACCTCTAGTGATACACCTTAGATTGCTAGAGTTACTGAATGCTCCTTCAATCGCGACAAAATACAAACCCCAGGGATAACCGAAAAAGATCACTCACATGACAATTCATTCTTGTGCCAGACTCGCTTTTTCACTTGTAAAAAGCATTCATTTTCACGCGTAGCCCATGTTTTCCTCCTTCTGGGTATTTGATTTGCGTGAGGTTCACTGTGTAAAGCATCATTCTGAGTGACGTCGCTTACTATTTGCCACTTGTCACCCACCGGTAATCCCCACACGCACCGTGGCTGTGTAGCACTTAGATGATAATTCATCTACATGTAGCTAACCCTAGAGTTGCGAATGAAGGGCTCATTTTCATACCGCCTAAGTATTTCGTCCGTGACGATCTTAGACAAGACCAAACTATGTTCACTACTACCTATTGGTGTAAAGAAATGGAAATCCTCAACCAGGAGCTGATCATTTGCATATAAATAATTCAAGTTTGAGGATTTTATATTGTTAGTTCATCTAGAAGCGTGGCACACATTCTCAGTCTGTCCGGGGCTGTTAACAGTTGTATAGCGAATCGAAAGTATACCACTACAGTTGTCTGAAGTCGCCTTTTTAAACTTACCTGCGGGAATTGTATCATATTTTCCGAGAGTAAGAGATGGAATGTTGAAACTTCAGGTAAGAGCTTTGATTAAACCTAAGTACTGGCAGTTGCATTATTGCGTAAATCATCATAACTTTCCGGGCATTAGTACCTGTAGGGGCCGATAAGTCCCTCCAATCAAGCATTTTTATGCCTTCAGCATTATTTTGTCATATTGGTTAGTTGGGTGCTGAGTAGTGTTACAGCTTTGAAATGTTAATCTAAAAAGCCAATCCTCTTCCTGTTTTGTGTACTGTATCACATCAGAAGTGTTTCGTGCTTTACCAACTCACGTCACCGTATTCATTGTTAGGGGAATAACCATGTTTCAGTTAGGATTATGATCTTTAGATCCATCTGAGAACAGATATTCCTATTCCTATTCTCTGCCAGCTTACCCTTCAAACCTCTCAATTTTTTAGAGGCAGTCAGTGGTTTGTGTCATCACCTGGTGCAACTCTTCAGCAGCAACCGCTTTCGGAATATTAAAATGGTTGTCGAAAGTGAGTTGACTAGTTCTAGATATACTGGATAGATATACTGATAGATATACTAGCTATACTGAAACTTCGGAGACGTTCCGCAATATTGATCAAAAGTATCTGAACTGTTGGCTTTTTTCTCCTGTCAAGGTTCTCGTCAAATCAATATAAATGCAACTGAAGAGAACAAAAATCGTAGATCGATACAAATAAATGTTATGAGCACGATAGGTTGAAACAATTTAATAGAGAGGAAAACAGTCAGCATCTACCCGAATGGTAACCATATTCTGAGAGCAGGCTATAACACTTAGATTTAGTTAATTGTATGATAAAAACAGAAACTTATCGATTGTGCTACACTGACAATGTTGTATATAATATGATATGGGCACGATAAAGTCCTCCGTCTGTATATTATAACGCCTTCAAATTTGGCTATATTATTCTGAGTTAATAAAAAGCCCCGTAAAAAAAGAATGTGTGAAAACTATTTACCAGATGCTATCAAATTCTCAAAACAGATACGGGAATTTCAGAAGCTAGTTGTTCTTTCTGGCGAGATAAACAGATTTAATGTTCAATCAAATAACAAAACCGTTACAAAACGAGGCAATAGAAATGGAGCTAATTCTAATGGCCTAGATTAGGTAATTATAAGCAGGCTGTTTATATAAGTTACGATGTAAGCAGTAAGTATAAAATTCCTTTCATTTGTAGGTATGATATTATTTTAGTTTGGTAATTTGAATTTTAGAAGAATTGCTAAGCCCTACTTTTGTCAGGTAAACTCCCACATTAATTAGTTTTATTGTGAAATAAAGACTTTCGGTAGATTAACTGTTAGGATATTCATCTAATATCCTAAGAGAATTATTGGTCAATTCCTTATTGGTTAATTCCTACTGGTCAATTTTATGGTCGTCCTAGATATCAATGTCACCTGCTCCAATGTTGTTTCTTATTGGCTGTGCTGACTATCAACGTCACTTCAAATGTTGCTTCCTATTGACTGTCTTAACTGTCAATGTCACAGACTTTGATGCTGTTTCCCATTCGACAAAAATGTATAAGTACGCATTATCTGATCAGGACCCGGTCCCGGAACCCTAGTCCGGAATCCTGATTCTCTTCTGGATTCGGACTTCATACTTTCTGTATGCTTGTAGAATACAGGTTCTACTTCATATCAAGTCTTCTTATTTTTACTCATTATGGGGGGCTGGGATAATCAGATTTGAGTAGTTTGTCGTGTCGCCAGATCCTCGATTCTCGCCCTCGTTTTCCGACTAGGTAAACTCGTAATAGTTCAAGCATATCAATTTGACGTGTTTACGTGCAGGCTTAACATTAACACACATTCATTATTGCTTTATTTACCAGACATCTTTCGAATTATCACTGTTTCCTCCCCCGTGTATACGTCACTGATACTGTTATTATATACCATTAAATATCAGATTCAGTACGGATATGATATTTATCGAAATCCCGACTCCCAGGATCTGGCGATCAAATCGAATGTTATTTCTGGTAGCATAACGTTAAATTTGAGAGAACGTCATCCCGAGATTTTCGTGCAGTCCTCTCCAAAGCAGCCAGATATGGCAGATATGATCGCAAGCGTGAAAAGCCTGCCACAGTATGTTGCGAAAATCCGGAATAAGTCACTGCAGTGAACCTCACTTGGTCGCAGAGCAGTTCATTGACACCCCAATGGTATGGAGAGTTCGGCTAATAACATTGGAATTTCGGGACTAAATTAACGATGTGCAGTCCATCAAGTGTTTGGCATAAGCAGACTCTCATGATTATGGGAAACGAAAAACCCGTCTATAGGTCGCTTCGACAGATGAGGGGTGCCAAAGGAGTAGCTTATTTTGTGTTACGGACAGAAAATCTGGTCTGAACATTTGCTGGGTACATGTGCTGCAGTCAGTATCGTTGCTTAGAAAGAACTGACTTACGTCGGAAAAGGGCCAGGTACACTTGAAGCTGTCAGGAAAACTAAAATCCTTACCCTTGTGAAGTGAAAATTGATGCCAGACTTCAGAAGTGATTCTCCGGGGTGTACGAAGTAACCTAATAATATCTAGCAATATTGGAAATAGATCTTTTAGCGAGAAATAAATTTCTATTAGACACTAGGAAATGGAGTTTGAAAAACTAAGACACTTCCTGATGCACAAAACTGCATCGCTTTTCTAAATTTGGTAAGAACTTCAACATCAACAGTCGCTAAGTTCCAGGATAAACTCACGGAATCTCTACAATTGACCAAATCTAACCCCCAACCTTTTAAAAGCGAGCTGTGATTTGATCACACTATCGACACGGAAAGTGCGAATGTGATCTTTTGCTCAGAAGACTAGCACCTTTTAAGCTTAAAATGGCTAGATCCGGATTCTACATTTAGGTATTATCCGTTCATCTGACAGGAAGTAGTCACCCCTTCTACATATGGTTCCAAGGGAGTATGAAGGTGACAGCGTACCATATTGGGATTATTGAGCTCTGGAATGTCAAACCATGGCGGATAGGTACCTCATATTTGATATTCAAAATTTTACAAAAGGAATGTAGCGTATGCACGTGTTTACTAAAGCTGACCTGGTCAGGGTACATGAAAAAAACCGAAGCAGCCGAAAAATATATCCTCAAGACATTTATTACGACAACCTTTGGAATGTTTGAGTAAGTACATGTACATTTGGGCCTTAAAAATGCAGCACAAAATTCCGAAAGTTTATGGACAATCTATTCCGAGATGTAGCTTTTGCTCAAGGATATATGGGCGATTTATTGATCACTAGTTCAAGTTTAGTATCACGTGAGGACCGTTTTTAAGTATTAGATGAAAATGGAAAAAACATATATCAAAGTGGGTTTCCAGAGTCCAAAATTTATGATTTCTAGGACGTACAATAATCTGAAGCAATCACACCAGCAATAAAAAGGTACAGAACATTGTCAGTCAGTTGCAACGTAGAACTTCGTACGTATGTACATAAGTTCATGTTGCCATACCACATTATTAGCACAGAGACGCAAATGTCAGATCAAATCCCATGGTGATAAAGATGGTAGAGGTATTAATGTTATAATAAAGAAGACTAGGGTTTAAGATATTATTCAAAAAATATAATTCAGTGAGAAAAGGTTATAAAGACAGAGGCAGAGGTATTGACGAATCCAGAAGATTAGGATTTGAGAGAGCTCAAAGAGTGGATGCACCTGCGCCATTGCAAACGATTTTGAGCCATGTCGTTCAAGGTCTCTAACCATTGATGACTTTCGTCTCGCGGACCCCAACCAGGTAGTCTACATCTACCAACATGACTCAGTCCACTTGTCAGTGACTTCATGGATTTCTGCCATGTTTTGGTCTGGCCGCCCCTAGCTTTCTTCCAACCTACTCCTACACCACAAAACATAGCTCGTCGAGGCAGTCGTTGGTTAGGCATACGTAACACATGTCCCAACCACCTCAACTGATGAAGTTTCACCACTTCATCGATTGATCTGCCATCCTTACCTAGTACGCGTTTCCTAACGACAGCATTGCTTACTCGGGTGTCCCACGATATACGAGCAATGCTTCTTAAACATCTATGATCGAATACTAGTAACCTACGAACATCTTCTACTCTTAACGGCCATGTTTCACAGCCATATAAGAGAACGGAACGAACTGCTGCGCAGTACACCCGCCCTTTGGTTAGCGAACGGATATCACGCCTACGCCATAAGTGACGCAGGTTGGCAAAAGCCAATCGAGCTTTCTGCATCCGCGCTGAGATTTCGTCAGTCACCAGACCGTCAGCACTGATGAGACTCCCCAGATAAGTGAAGTGATCTACACGCTCGACTACTTCACTTCCTATCGCTAGTTCAGGTGCCGAAGCAACCCAATCTTGAAGCAACATTTTGCATTTCGAGGGGGAAAACCGCATCCCGAACATGCTCGCATTGTTGCTTATGGTAGTCAGAAGACTCTGCATTTTGTCAGCGTCTTCACCGAATAGAACTATGTCATCGGCATATTCTAGATCAGTAAGCGACTTTCCTGGTAGAAGGTCAACCCCTGAAAAATCTGACGAGCTTAATGTTAACTCTAAGAGGATGTCTACGACTACAGAACATTGAGTAAGAACTCACATCGAATTCCTTAACACAAGTAAGCAGTTTTCTCGATTCTGTCAACTTATGCTGACTCATACCAGTTTGTAAGTAACTAATACAACTGTTCACAGGTTCCCTGAAGAGTAAACAGAAATATTTTAGGTTGATGTGATATTTAGAAGTATATGAATGAAGAATTAAAGATCTGCACAAACGAATGTATTGTATTCAGAATTCGAAATCAAGCATTTCACAACAACAAGAAGTTACTAGTTCATTCAAACACCACATCCGCCGCAGCTCAAATTGGAATGTATACGTCTGTAATCAATTGTACGTCTTCTTCTCAAATTCATCCTGTGTCTGTCCGACAGTGTATTGGATAAAGGCTCTGTATTATCTAGAATGCTCTCATTAGTATTAGTATTAACAACCGAAATTGGAACAGACTCACCTGGCTCTTGGAATTGTATTTGATCAACATGTCGATTGTGTGTACTTAAGTCATTGATATCTAGAAGTCGCACCATAGATTTCCCGACATTCTTCTGAACGATCCCCGTGGATGGTCGAAGATCATTGCCACGATAATATGTAACTTCTGCAGACTCCAAACATCTCATATTCGACCGAAGAATTCTTCCTTTTAATAGTTTTGATGGAGTCTCTTTCGTCACCGAATGTCTGGCATTTCTATATTGCAGTAGAAAGGTATCTACTCCCCTCTCCAGCTCATTAAATGTTGAGGCGACAATAGAATCACTCAACCTCGAATGCTGATTTTTCAGCTTATGACACTTTTCGCAATTCGTTGCTGTACGACAAATATCTGCATTTAATGACTGTCGAGAAATGTATTCAACATGTTGAATTTGCTTGGCACTCCCGTGCTGAACCATTTTCATACTTCCATTGCACTTAGCACACTTGGCTATCAAATCTTTAAGTAAAGCATCAGAATTTTCTTTAGAAACTAGGAAAGACAACTCCACTTTAAGTCTTCTCAAATTCTTTAAACCCAGTATTGACAGTCCTGTTTCACTAACTAAAAATTCACAAGGTATATATGAGGAATTATCATCTCTTATTAGCAATTCACAACATCCTCGTATAGGCAGTTTGTGTCCAGTAATCCCCAATATTGATACATCAGTGGGTCGTATCACAACGTTCGGATCTAACGATTTCAGGTTCTTGAATGAAATAATGGACTCTATACTACCTGTGTCCACAATAAAGTCATGAAATGAACCAAGTGATGTATATAGTCGCTTTTGAATATGAGCATTACCTTTTGAAATGGTAGTTAAAGATAAATGATCATTAGGATCAGCTGAATTATTGGAATCTAAATTACAAGCTTTAGTACTACTTGAGGCAAAATGAACAGTAGCTTTGCATACTGCTTGAATGTGTCCTATCTTACCACATCTAAAACATTTAGCATTACGAAATGTACAATAATAACGAGAATGAAGTTTTCCACATGATAAACATTTGCCAAACTTGGTCTCACCTTTTTGATTTCCTTTGTAATTCTTTTTTGAGACACCGTTCATTTTTACACGAGAATAGGAACCTCTGTTAAACGAACACAATTTTGATTGACCCTGAGATTGCTTTTCATCATGACAACTAATCAAAGTATTGGAAATCTTCATCGACTGAATATCAAGTTCATTCAACGCCTCGTAGTTAATGCACGCAGTTATAACATCTTGAAAGGAACAGTTTGACATTCTTAACAGCTCTCTTTCCAAACTAGGTATATTAATTCCTGCAATTAATCGGTCTCTCAGCTGCACCTTAAGTTGATCACCGAAATTACATTTGACAGCCTGTTTCTGCAATTCAAGAATAAATTCCTTAACATTTTGGTCATTTTGACGAATCATCTTATGAAATTTCGCTCTTTCACGGCATTCGAAACCAGGGCACTTTACATGATTTAATAATAACTCCTTTAGCATTGCATAGGGAAGTGAAATAGGTTTTTCTGGATATGCCAAGGTTTTCAATAAGCTGTACGCTTCTTTTCCGATGAATGTTAGGAAATGAGCCACAATTTTATCATCTTTGACATCTTTCCTGGTCATACTCCAGATTTCAAACCTTTCCAAATAATCTTCAAAAGCTTCAGAAGTAGAATGAATATCTAGCTGTTCCATTACAAGTTCCATCGCGACGCCACTGTGATGCATAGAAGTATATGAATCAAGAATTAAAGAACTGCACAAACGAATGTATTGTATTCAGAATTCGAAATCAAGCATTTCACAACAACAAGAAGTTACTAGTTCATTCAAACACCACAGTTGACTTCCAAGGTTATTGTAGAGCCAAATGATAAGCTCGCTAAGCATTTATTTCAGTGTATTTGAAGACCGATTCCTTGTATGCCTTAATAGTAGACTTACTGACACAGAAGCAGCCAGTGTTCTTAATCAACTAGTATAAACCTCATGACAACCGGCAGCGTTATTCTCGAAGAGGCCCACTCCCACAGAGACAGGATACTCTACTTCTAGATGAGAACACGCAATCTAACCGGCAATCAGACTGCTACGGCACATGTTAGAAGACAGGACATTCATAGTTTATGCAGATCACAAACCACTGACTAATGCTTAAGCTAATGACGATAAAAGCTCGCTTCCATTGATTCGACAGCTTGACTTTATATCACAGTTCACCAGCAACATATGAAAATTCAGGACAACCAAGCAGCTGATGAATCATCTCGACTAGGAACTAACACAATCCGACAACTGTGATTTTTGAAGATTTAGCAAACAAACAGAGACGGCCGAAAATCTTAAAATCTACTTTCAACAATCTAGTCTGTTGTGACAACCAGAGTGATGCCTCGATCATCAGCTCCCAAAACAACGAGAAAATTAATATCTAGTGATTTTCATACGTTATCTCATCCTGGTGTAAAGATTATCACCATACTAATCGATAATAGGTATATATGGCCCAAATCATAGAGAGATGTAAACAAGTAGGTTAGGGAATGTTCTGCATGTCAACATTTAAGTGCTGACCGTTATACGATCCCACCTATCGGAGCGCTTTTACAGTCAGACGAAAGTTCTCATCATTTATTTACGTGTACAGACAGATGTACAAGGTTTTCAGTAGATACATCAATAACCGACATGACAGTTGAAACAGTCGTGAAAGGTTTCATTCAGGAGAGTGAGAATTTTCGGGGTACCCATTAGAAAAACAACTGATAGGGGAACTAAATTCGAACCCGAGGTATTCAAGAACTTGTCAAGAAACCTGAGATTAATGAAAGAATAGTAGCAGGTCACTACCGCATGTTATGGAATATAAATTACACAATTTTCGCCTAACCACGGAGTGAACTTGTGCAGATGAAATAAAATGGCCAAACTAACTTCGGAGAGAGTATGTGCGAGTACCTCTAGATGGAAGAAAGTCAGATATGTAAGTAATGGTTAGCAATATAAGACAAATCGTAGGCATAGCAGTTATATTTAGAAAGGACTTATACCTCAGAACGATTTCAGTAACAGGTCTACCTGATTGTCTTGTTCTAAATTCAGTCAATACGAATGTAAGAAGAAAAAATATCTAGCAATTGCACTATGCGGTGGATGTAATCCCACAGTGACAGGAGGAAATTCAAATGACTGTGCTTCAACTCAGAAGTCTATAAAGTTGGATCTAGTCTCGTTGTAAGTAGGTCACGGTTTCTGTCAAGCAGTCCTAACTTGTAAGGAAACTGACCTAGTGTTCTCTAGCTTTCAATGCTTCCACAGCCGATGCTAGTTTATAACATGAGTTAGCTTCGCATAAAGCAAGCCACATCTTCACTTTGATTAGACTATAAAAAAATGAAAAAGCCTGATGGCTTAGGGCTTTATTAGAGTCATTTAGAGTTCTACAGCACATTTTTAGGCATCGGTGACGTAACTCAACTAAAACAACTGTACTGGAGAAGTATATTTTGATCTGTATGTTAAATAATTACTCTAAACAAAGTGAGTAATATTTAAGAGCATATGATAAACAGGATTAAGAACACGGTAGTTTTCAAAATAGAACTTTTATAAAAAGAGTCTTGTATACACAAGCATTCACAAAATCCATGTTAAAAGGCATTGAATGAGAATAAATACAGGCAATCAAAAATATAACACAGAATCTTACGAATGCATACCATTTACTTAATGGTATGTCAAACAAGTTAGGAGGATAGCAAATTGTGAGAAACTCTAGAAGCATCAAGTATATATACAACGTGTGTTTTCAAAAAAACCGATAAACTAAAATACATATTTTTGTATAAAATAATGAAAAAAAAGGAAAGACGTAGAATTTAGGCATCTGTAAAAATATAATGTTCAAAATAGAGCACGATGATATCACTTAAGGATGTACATTTGTATTGGTCGAAATAATACTTAGAAAAGATTATAGGACAATGGAACATCACAAACATTAAATAAAGAATTGTTATAAATCCCCAGATTCTGAAGAATCTCTATGATCACTACAATCATAACGCTTTTCGAGATTATGAAGGCTATTATTATGACCAACCTCTTCAGAAAAAACAGGCCTTCCAGAATTACATATACTACTTTTTACATTATTGGATATAGACAGAGTTGATAGATTGTGTTTTCGAAATATTTCTTCATCTTCTTTAATAAGAGCTGTTAATTTTACAATGCAAGAATCAGGTAACTTACGCAGGTCGAATGCGATCAATTTAGGGTTATCGTGTATCACTTTTACACCTTTGCTATTGTTATTATTATTATTATTGTTATTATTAGATACATTGATGTTTGACTTATTTTTACGTTCTACTGAATCAAATGATTGTGCAGATATGTAATATAACAAGATTTCACTCATACGAAGAGCCAGGCGCGGTTCTCGTAAACGAATTAGTCTATCGAATAGAACTTCCAAGTTATGGTTGTTGGGTTTTGAGGATTCTAAGTTATTGTTCTCGATATTTGCAGAAATCATTTCACGATCGATGTTCATGCACTTTTCCAACTTGTTACTGTTATAAGTAGATGAAATAACTTTACTGTTATGATTCATATCGCTTTCCCCCTGTAAGACAACACGCTCTGATTCACGTGCCGAGTGTACAGAAGCCGCCATCGCATTATGTTTGCTTACATTCGACTTTACTTTGTTAACACTGCTATTTCGAGATTCATCGTATTCAGATTTATCTACATTTATCAAGTGAAACGTTTCATCAGATAACATTGGTGGAGTTACAGAGGATGAAGAAGAAGCACATGATGAGTCCGACGATAAGGATGACAATTCTGCATCAATTAAGTCCGTATCAATACGCAACATTGTTGATGTTGCAGTGTTATTATTGTTAATACTGACTTTGTTGAATGAAGAGGAACTATTGGAAGGTCCTCGGCTTGACTGTTCTTTCAGTATCAATTGTTCATTACTGTTCTGCTTACTATTCTCAATAGAATTTAAAACTTTTGAGGCGTATTTCTGTGTATTGGAAACTGATATCGATTTGGCTAGATAGTGACAGAATAAATAATAACAGTAATAATTAAAGTTGTAAAATAAACACAACTTGAAATTTTACACAATGATCGTTGATAAAGAATTAGAATTTCGAGTAGATTAGACATCATTTCTATCATTAAAAAGGTCAGTGGTTGACAACAGAAAGTAACTGTTAAGTGGTAATTACTATGAGACTCCTCATATCTCAGTAACGAATCGAATTCCGAAAGTCAAGTTTCAATGCTGTTAATAATTCAAGGGAATTCATGTTACGTACGGTACACCTTTATGTTGTGCTGGTTGTTTGGAGGCTATTGGTATGAAAACTGGCGTAGTTTTGTGCTAGTTAGGGATCATGAATAGGTAAAACCCGTTAGATGGTCTAATGCATGAATCCCTTAATATATGCTAAAAAAACGGCAAAAAGATGGAACATTGAAAACTATTCTTCGGTGGATTCAGTCAGTCATATTAAAGATAGAAACCGGAATATACACATTGGGCGACTTTTGCCATGTTCTGATTGATTAGTTTCGACGCATAAAAATGTGCATGACCTAATCAACGTTAACAGACATCACAGGTGTTTGGTGTGGACATTAGCATTATTCATGTAAAATGATGTCATAATTAATGCATACAAGCAGAAGAAAAGTCCGTAAGAATATGTTGCATAAATCTAAAAGACAAAAATTCCTCCTTACCCGTTTATTTAAAATTATTATCCCGTATAGCATAAACATCACAGTAAAATGAAACAAGTGGCAAAATAATTCGAAATAAATTGCTTCTGTTCTTCACAAATGGTAAAAAGCATGAAAGAAGAACTAAAAATTAACTGGGGGTTAATTAAAAGTCCTTCAATTAGAGTTTCACAAACCAGCATAGTTATATATGTGCAGATTGAGACTTATTTCTGAGTAAAAATTTATGAAGTAGTTAATTCTTTGTTCATACATGTAATATAATTGCAATCCTGAACACAATTAAGACCTACTTTTCCATTAGCATGGTGCAACGTGGCCAATAAGTAACATGCAGTAGACATGCACCGGAGTTGGATTTGGATGTATGGCACGATCAGAGAGTTTTAAAGACATGAAGATAGCCGATAATCTGTTTGCTTTGAAAATGGAAGTTTGAACACAAGGCGTATACATTTTGCTATTAAATTGTGTCTTTTTTAAACAAATCGCATGTTTTTGTTCATTACACCAGCATTCGTTCATATATGCTCTCGTACTTCGTATTTGGCAACTGTATTCTTAATGCTTAGTCTTTCTCATCGTATTGCTACCTCACTACCTTGATGTTTACTGCTATTTATTCTGTCATGTTAATGTGGCACGGTAACTTTTGTCAACATGAGTTGATATCCATAATTACTATTAAAAAAAATTTAAACTTGGCCACAAACCATACACGTTAAAAAAAGTATCAATGTGTAGCTGAATAGGAAATTCTAGAATTCTCCGACATTATCATCCAGAAGGTCGCCATGGCAACTAACTTAACAACTTAAATTATATGGACTAATTCCTGAAGTAGAAAACACTTTTGGCCACACTGAGATTGTGAAAATAATATAGCTTATATCGTGACATCATACTGATGACAAATTGTATTATGTATTATTTCATTAAAAGTCTGAACCAAATACTACAATGGAACAAGTCTTACTGTTTTGGATTTGTTTTAACTGATTAATGATGCACGTTGACTGTGTGTACTCACAGGTTTCCAATCCGATGCTAATGAGTTCGAAATTTCTTCAGAAAACCAGCTTTAGTATATTTCCACTTTGTGTCATTTGATAAAATGGAATTTATAAATAACATCCATGTAGTGCAAAAAAAAATAGCACATGGGAAAAACTGGTCAAAAGTGTATGAAAACAAAGAAATAACAGTGAATCGCTGTCAAAATACATTTTATACATCTTTGTGAATAATTTAAAAATTAAATGGATAAAAGACGGGTCACTTCTTGAAATACTGCATATTTAGTGCTTAGAATTTCTTACTACAATCAAAAATACAGGACCGAATAAATCGAAACACTTCAACGACTCTTTATATTTATTTTTTAGAGTTATTAATAGGCAAAAAATAATTGCAATAACTTACGTGTTTCCTGATCATTGAGCGGAATTTTATTCAATGAATGTCGCTGTTGTTCTGATGACTTCTCAATTTTCTGCGATTTACTGATATGTTTTGATTCGTTGCTTTTTATTTTACGAGTGGGTGAATTTTCACACAATGTAGCATGATTGAAAACAGGTATATCCAATTGTTTTGATGACACTGAAGACGATGATGACGACGACGACGACGATGATGATGACGATGATGTAGTTGATGATGAAGAGGACGATGAAGAAGAACTATCATGATATTTGAATTTCTTTGCAACTGGCTTTCTTCTGTTACACAAATCTGATGAATGACTTTCGACAGAATTAAATAATTTAGACTGACAATTATTATCTACTGAATTTGAATGACCTGATACTTTGAGTTGTTTTACTGATGATGGTACTCCAATGATGCAGTCACTGGATCTTTCAAAATTTACTTGGTTTTTCTAGGTGGAAAGGAAAAGAAATAAGCAAATTAGAATTAACGTATGTATATTGTTAAGTAATTTATGGATAAACATTTCAATAATCATTTTTAATAAATTTCAAGTGAGCTAAACTGAATATAAACGATCAGCCTCATTTATAAATCTTTAATAATTAATTACTTAATTTTTTTTAAAAAGTATGTTAATTAAAAGGTTGATCATAAACAACATAGAACCTTGCACATATATGCATTAATCCACCTTGCAGGTACCATATTAGTCAAATAAGGTGAAATTATCAGGACAAATATCATAATCGCAATAGAAGTAGTGTGTCAATGATCGTAAAAACATTAGGCAGAAAGAAAATAATTTGAGAAGCATGGATAACTTCGAAACTCGTGGTGTACTGTATCAGTTCGTGCACAAATAAAGGGTTACAAAAAAAGATTTGGGACTATTATAGTTTGCGCGCAAAATAAGGCAACACCGAAAATATAGTTGCCTGAAAATAAAAACCAAAAAAGAACTACTCTGTAAACTAAAAGATGTTAAAATTACTTATAACAGTAAATTCGAATACCAGCAGAATGTCTTATACTTGTCGAGTCTATTCTGAAAAAAAACACGGAATCTGTGATTGATGAAAACTAAAAATGATTAAAGGTATAAAAATCTGGGTTTAGCAAAGTAATTAGGTGGACACACAACACGAAGAAATCCAAACATGTCGATTACTTCGAGTAGTTGGACCTTTGACAAAAGAACCCTAAGGTGATTCAGTCAGTCAGATGCAACGTAGAACTTCGTACGTAAGTACATCAGTTCATGTCGCCATACCACATTAGCACAGAGATGTAATTGTCAATTCAAATCCAATAGTAGAAGAGGTAGTCAACGTATTAGAAGTAATCGGAGAGGTTAGGATTAGAAGATATTATTCAAGAAGTATGATTCAGTGAGAAAAGTTTAGAAAGTCAAAACTAGAGGCCATCGGCACTGATGAGACTCCCAAGATAAGTGAAGCGGTCTACACGTTCGACTACTTCACTCCCTATCACTAGTTCAGGTGCCGATGAAACCCAATCTTCAAGCAACATTTTGTATTTCGAATGGGAAAACCGCGTCCCGAACATGCTTGCATCGTTGCTTAGGGTAGTCAGAAGATTGCATTTTGTCAGCGTCTTCACCAAGTAGGACAATGTCATCGGCATATTCTAAGTCAATATGCGAGCCACCTGGTAAAAGGTCTACTCCTGCAAATTCAGACGAGGATAAGGTTATATCTAGGATAAAATTAAACAAGAATCGAGGAAGTGGACATCCCTGACGGACACCACTTGAAGTAGAGAATTCCGGTGACAGTTCGCCATAAGCCCTCACTCGACAGTGGTGTTCGAGTAGAGAGCTTGAATAAGGTTAATGTACTTCTTTGGTACACCTTTCAATGACAAACACTGCCACAGAACCTCACGATCCACAGAGTCAAATGCCGCCTTAAGGTCCAGGTAAACAACTATTGTAGGACGCCTAAATGTGTGTCTTTGTTCCAGGACCTGTCGTAGTGTGAAGATGTGGTCTATACAACCACGTCCAGGTCGAAAACCGGCCTGGTTTTCTCGAGTTTGCTCTTCACGAGCTTTCGTTAGGCGTCGAAGAATTATTGAGGCCAATATTTTCGATACTATATTAGTTAGACTGATTCCCCTGTGATTGTCACAAGAAGACTTTTGTCCTTTCTTATAGATTGGGACAATCAGTGATTGAGACCAGTCGGATGGGATTACGTCCATTTCCCAGATTCTGCCTAAGATCTCAGTCAACCTAGCTGCTAAAACTGGACCGCCAACCTTATATATCTCAGGGGTCAGTCTATCAGGACCTGCAGCTCACCCTCGCTTCGGATTTGCTAACGCTTTCTCAAGGTCCTTAAGACTAGGGGGACTTACGTCTATTTGCCATTCATGATGACTGGAAATCGTGGGTAAGCGAAGAGTGGCTCGAGGCCAGTTGAAGTGATCCCTAAAGTGTTCTGCCCATCGATCCAGTCTCCTGGATTGAGAAAAAATAATAGTCCCGTCATTTTCTGAGATAGTCTCACTTACACTAGGGTTCCGATTACCAGTTTCCTTGATGAGTCTAAATAGTTACCTACTGTTGCCTATCGCCGCTGCCTTTTCTATCTCTCGCGCTGTCGCCACCCACCACTGTTCTCGTTCATTGCGTAGGATTTTGGTCAGCCTACGTCCAAGCTGACTCCGCTCCTCATCGCCCTCAGAGCCAGACGAGATGAGTTTTACTGCTGTTTCGTCAGCCTTCTTGATTTGATTCCAACCTGACTCCTTTATTTCTAGTTCCTCCTGAAATATTTTCTTAGCTTGATTATCATCAAGTAAAGCTTTAAGCGGCTTCCATACGGTATCTTTCCTACGTCCAGTAAGCCTCAAACAGATACACGCTCGCACTAGAGCATGATCTGAATCTAAGCATGTGCTCCGGAACGAGCGACAGTCCTCTATCGAACCCCTCCATCGGTGGCTGATGGCGATATGATCTACTTGTGTCCAACGTTGAGACTACTTCGGAGGTCGCCAGGTCAAGAGATGCTTTTCCTTATGCTTAAAGTTAGTGTTTGCTAGGAATAGGCGGTTATCTGAGCATAGTTGCAACAGACGTTCGCCATTGTCTGTTTTCTGAGCCGCGACACTATAACATCCACCTAGGTGTCTTTCATTTTCACTCAGTCTACCTACTTGAGCATTGAAGTCACCAGCCATTATTACTATATCAGAGAGCCTAGCTCTTTGGAGGAGGTCCGAAAGCTTTGTGTAAAACTCATCTTTAACCTCGTCTGAACTGCAGTCAGTGGGAGCATAGGCAGATATGACGAAGAGGCAACGGCGTGTGTCCCTATCCTTTCGAATCCTTACTGTTCCGTTAAGTCGGACAGCGAACAAGCGACTATCTACTGGGATCCAGTCTAGGAGAGATTGTTTAGCTCTACGACTCGATGCTATGCCTACGCCAGCAAGACCCCTGGAAGCAGCATCAGGGCTACCGGATACACGAACAGTAAATCGAGTAGCTTCTTTATTTTGACAAGGTTAAATCATATTATTAATTTTACTAGGATCCTGTATGCGCGTTTTCGAGACACAGCATACATTGATGGCACGAGATTCTAAAGTCCTAGCTAAGGAAGCTTGCTGTGTAGGTGTAGGAAGGATTTGATTTCGACCAATTTGGTCTCTCGTGCTGTTACGGGTATGAGGACGGTTGTCACTTCCCGGCTGCCCACACCGTGTAAGGTTGTTTCTTGAGGGACCTGAAAAGGAAGATAGATTAGTGTTAGTCTTGGAGACCTGGGAGCGTGACCGCAGAGTCCAAGGGACAACTGCTTGAGGCCGGTCACGCACGGCCTTTTTATGAAGGGTTTTTTGAGGATTAGCTCCGCTCTTAAAGGCCCTTAGTGGGCACCCTTACCGACGGAGACGGAAATCCGTGAGGTAGGGTGAGGTGTGACATTTTTAGGGTCGACCTTTTCTAACCCTTCCTTCCTTGTGAGAAGGCAGCGTCGTTGCAGATGCTGGTTATCCGAGGGAAACACCTTACTGCTGTCACACCCCTCTGCAGTCAGTCGGCAGTACGACTTCGCCCTCAGACCTTGGGTAGTTGCTTTTAGTCTGATCGTTCTCCAATCGACCTGCCTGGCATGGTAGAACGTTCAGGAACATATGTTCCAGCCAGTATAGCTCGGTTGGGTCATCAGGATAGGCAAGCCTGACCACCACGTCAAGGTAGCAGCTACGCTCGGGACCCTAAGGTGATTACTCAAGCTTTATTCACAACAGAAATGTCCTTGGTTGGAAGCGGTAGGTATTATTGTGCACCCAAAGCGCACTATTAGAACATACCAATCTTAGTCATTCAACTTCATATTAAAATAATTTGACAGGTGACAGAATATTTCATCTGTAGTGTTAGTCATAAAACATTGACTGCTAAAAATTAGGATAATTATGTGACGCATTGTGAATATCTTTAACTGTAAAGTAAATCAAAGTGGTAATACATCATAGAGAAATTGAGGAATAAACCCTAACAGCGAGTGTCCCTATCTATGCAAGTCCTTCCTGTTATCTTTAGTCGGACAGTGCACAAGCAAGTATCTACAAGGATCCAGTCTAGGAGATTCAGTCTTACCTTCAGACTCAATACTATACTTACACCAGCAAGGCCACGCGAAGTAGCATCAATGCTTCTAGACACAAGAAGCGTAAACCGAGTTGATTCTCTTTCTTGACAAGGTGAGGTCAAATGAATTACGCTACTCGGATCCTGTATGAGCATTTCGGAGACGCAGCTTAAATCGATGGCTCCAGATTATTAAGTTATAGTTAAGGAAGCCTGTTATCCTATTGGACATAATTTCAGGACATCAAAAGCTCCAACATTTAGTTTAGAACGGGGTTTCAGGCGACCAGGAATGACGTTTCGTGTATTCGCATCGTTTGCATTAGCGGTGAAGTGATAAAGGAATGTGAGGTGGGTGCGTCGTGGAGATAAGAGAGATAGTAGGGGTGTAGGAGGGATTTGATTGTGATCACTTCGGTCACCTGTGCTGTTTCATATATCGGAGCGGGTATCACTTACCAAATTCCCACAGCGTGGAAGAGTGTTTCCTGAGGAACTTGAAAACGAATGTAGATTAGCGTTGGACTTAAAGACCTGGGAGCGTGAAGGTATGGACCAAGGGACAACTACTTGAGGCCAGTCACGTAATCTTTTTTATCGGAAGTTTTTACTCGTTAGCTCCGCTCTTGTTTACAAGACTTACCGCCGGAGACAGAAATCCGTGAGGTGAGGTGCGACATATTTAGGGTCGACCTTTTCTAACCCCTTCCTTCCTTGTAAGAAGGCAGTATCGCTGTAGATGCTGGCTGTCCGAAGGAAACACCATACTGCTGTCACATCCCTCTACAGTCAGCTTGGTTGGGTCAGCACGATAGACATGCCCGACCACCATATTAAGGTAGCAGCTACGGTCGGGTCTTTCCATACATATTATCGGGAAACTCCTTTTTTAACACAATTATTAAAGCACATAGAAAATATGTATATCGCGTTGTGAAATACAATCACAGAAGCGGTAAAAAACATCTAAACAGAGGATTCCACTGATAGACCGATAGATTACATATATTTTAAAAAGTAAACAACAAAACTAGGAAAACTTGCAAATATTACGTTGATGGTGAAATTTAAAAAAAACTTACACCTGTATGAGATGACAGTTTGTTTGATGAATTAAGAGATATTTTGTGTTTTGATTTACTATTTGACTGTCTTGATTTGAGTTTTTCATCTAGATTATTATTTTTACTATTGTATTGTTTATTCAAATGAGGAAACGACGACTGTGTTTCATCTAGATTTAATTTATTTCGTTTTGAATCTTCTTGATTAGTAAACTTTGCTCCTGAATTATTATTATTATCATTATTACTATTATTATTATTGTTTGGATGTTCATAGGTGGAACAATTTTTTGACGGTGGTGTAAAATCATCAAAATCTTCTTCATATAATTCACTACTTGTAGTAGCAACAGCTGAACGTATCAATGGTTCTTCTGGATCATCTAATCTACTATGACTACCAGCATCATCGTTAGCGATCGGCTGAACACGATTTTTATTACTAACAGAAGATATTTCATCAACATATTTGAAATTTCTTACATTAGACGAAGATGCAGTCGTTGATGATGGGAATGAAGTTGAATGCTGTTGGTCTTTTTGACCATGTGGTTGTTGAAATTCATCACCAAAATAATCAACTACTGGAGTTTCTCTTCCAGAATCGTCATGATAATCATCTTTTTGATCGATAAGAAGTAAATGTGAGTGAGTTGAGCGACTAACAGAATCACATAGTGAATCAATATCAGATGCTGTAAATGCATCATTTGTATCTTGTTGCATATTGTTAATTGGTGAATATTGTTGATGTGAATGTTTATTTGCATTTCTTTGATTATAAATGAGCATATCACTGTGTCCATCTATATCTACAAATGTTTTCATATTATTGTTGTTATTATTATCGGAGGGATTTTTGGGACTATTATTTAGTGTGGATTTACGTGGATTATAAGTCAATTCAGGACTTGAATTATTTGAATAAGTCTCATGAGATGAATATTTTCTCGGTGAATGCTTTTTACACAACGGTGATGTTTCTGAAGACAGTATTTGTGCAGATAGTTTACTCTTGTTGGTGGCTGTATCAATTATATCTGATGTGTTGACAGTAGCGGTAGTTACCATATTAGTGTTTTGACTTCCAAACAAATGTTTTACAGGTGAGCCCTAGTGGAAAACATTTTATAAATAGGAATATACATTAAATCTAATTATTTGTTGGCTAGAACAAGTTTAACAAACATACATAAAATAATCTACTAGTTGACAAATTTATAAAGTTATTACTATTACGAAAAAATATTTTATCACACATCAACCAAACTTCATTAATAAATCAGTCAGCAGGCAAGTAAATCTGAATACATTCGACTGACCATCCAAAAATTCCAATGTTTTGTTGCACCTTCCAAAACCTAAAACAGCAACCGAGAACAGTGCAACTAAGAAGATGAAGATGTGCAGTTATAGTAATATTATTATGGATACTGAATTGTCCATAACATTTTACCGTATAAAAATTTCAACTTCGTAATATATTTCCAAAGATATTTAGGCAGACTGGCATACAGAAATGGATAGTCGAAGTACGGACTAAAAATCTGGGATATTCATAACACAAACTGTTGAAATGATAAGCAGTTGTTCACTGTCCAGTTATAAACTAAGTGTAGTCAAACTTTTTCTGAAGCCAACAAGCCTAAAAACATGGAAATCAACATATTTTAAATGTTAACTTGGAGGTATTTTTAGCACCTTAGGTCATAAATTAGTGGTAAAACTGGCATAATAATCATAAACCGAACCCTACAAATAACGCCAAGCGACAGATCAGCTGCGTAACTATTATCATCGGTTAAAAAGACGAAATAGAATATCTAATCACACTACGTTGTTGGGCCTCTTTTACAACAATTTAGTTCATTAACTATAATAGTTCAGTCAGACATTTAGTGTTTTGGTTTTAAGAATGTTAATGTCATCTAGTGACTACGATGTGTCAATAAATCATCACCATGAGTACTTTTTATTAGGTTAGATTACACAACTTTTCGCACCGGTCGAAAGAAACATTATTTACTTCAAACCCTAACAGAAATACGAAGTGGGGTACAAGTTACTGTATGACAATCAGAGGAAGGCCTACAATCATGTATCTACGATTGCCTATAAGATTTTACAAAAAGCGGAATTCCTCTATGATAGTCATGAAAGAATTACTATAACTCTTTCACTTCATAAGCTAGTGCCATTTGATAAAGTTAAAAAAGCATGGTCAAAGTGGACATCCTTGACGTTCACTTGATGCAATGAATCCCGATGACAGTTCGCTGTAACCTCTCAACCGACCAGTAGTGTTCGAGTAGAGAGCCCGTTTAGGATTAAGGTATTTCTCTGGAACACCTTTTAATCACAAACACTGCCACAGAACCTCGCGATCAACAAAGTCGAATGTCGCTTTAACGTCGAGAAATACTATTATTGTGGGACTTTGAACGAGTGTCTGTGTTCCGCAACATGACGAAGAGTCAATATTTGGTCCATACATTCACGAATAGGCCGGAAAGCAGACTGGTTTCCTCTAGTCTGCACTTCACGAGCTCTAGTTAAACGTTGAAGTATTTTGGAGGCTAACTTTTAGACACCACATTAGTCAAACTGATTCCTCTGTGATTGTCACAAGGAGACCTTTGTCCTTTTCAGTACACTGGGACTATCAGTGATTGACACTAGTCAGATGTGATTATGCACAGTCCACAGATTCTACCTAAGATCCCAGTCAATCTCACTGTTAAAACTAGACCACCATCCTTAAAAATCCCAATCGGAAGCCTGTCAGGTCCTGCGGCTCTCTCCCTCGCTTCAGATTTCCTGTGAATTGATCTAGTTGTGTGCAGAGTTGGGACGAATTTCGGAGTCTCAATACTGAAAGATGTTTTACCTTGTGCCTAAAGTTATTAGTATTTACTAGCAATAGGCGTTGTCGGATCATAGCTGAGGCAGACAGTCGCCATCATGCGAACTTTGAGCCACGACACCATAAGTTCCACCCGTGTGTCTTTCCTTTCCGGCTAGTCTACCTACTTGAGCATTGAAGTCACCAGCCACTACAACTATATCAGAGTGCCTAACTTTTTGAAAAAGGTTAGAGTGGTTTCTGTAAAACTTATCTTTTACCTCGTCTGAGCTGCAGTCAGTGGGAGAGTAGTTAAATCAAAATGGTAATACATCATAGAGAAATTGAGGAATAAACCCTAACAGCGAGTGTCCCTATCTATGCAAGTCCTTCCTGTTATCTTTAGTCGGACAGTGCACAAGCAAGTATCTACAGGGTTCCAGTCTAGGAGATTCAGTCTTACCTTAAGACTCAATACTATACTTACACCAGCAAGGCCACGCGAAGTAGCATCAATGCTTCTAGACACAAGAAGCGTAAACCGAGTTGATTCTCTATCTTGACAGGGTGAGGTCAAATGAATGACGCTACTCGGATCCTGCATGCACGTTTTGGTGACGGAGCTTACATCGATGGCTGCAGATTCTGAAGTTATAGTTAAGGATGCCTGTTGTCCTATTCGACACAATTTCCAGATATTGAAAGCTCCAACATGTAGTTTAGAACGGGGTTTCAGGAGACTAGGGATAACCTTTCACAGTGAGGAGTAATAAAGCAATGCGAGAAGGGTTAGTCATAGAGATAAGAGTGATGTCAGGGGTGTAGGAATGATTTGATTGATACCTATTCGGTCTCCTCTGCTGTTACAGGTATGAGAGCGGATGTCACTTACTAAACGCCTACACCGTGGAAGGGTGTTTCCGGAGGAACCTTAAAACGAAGGTAGGTTACCGTTGGTCTTAAAGACCTGACAGCGTGACTGCAGAGCGCGAGGGACAACTGCTTGACGCTCGTCACGCACATCCATTTCATGAGAAGGTTCTAACCATTAACTCCGCTCTTCGTTAAGAGGCTTTACTGCCGGAGACGGAAGTCCCTGAGGTGGGGTGGGGTGTGACATTTTTAGGGTCGACCTTTTCTAACCCCTTACTTAATTCTTTGTGAGTAGGCAACGTCACTGCGGATTCTGGTTGTCCGAGGGAAGCACCTTACCACAGTCACACTCCTCTGCAGTCAGCAGTACGACTTCGCCCTTAGAACGTGAGTAGCTGCTTTCAGTCTCATCGTCCTGTAATCCATTTGCCTGGCATGGTATAATCTACAGGAACATATGCTCCAACCCATACAGCTTGCTTAGGTCATCACGATAAGCATACCTGACCACCACATTAAGGTAGCAGCTACGGTCGGGTTATGCAAGCCTACTACGAAATTAATTTTATATAAAAAAAGAAATAATCGAAAATAAATAAATGAAAGTTAGAATAGAGAAGTCAAGCTTATAATTGAATGTAAAACACTAAATCTACCGCTGAATTTTTCATACGACGTTCTTTCTTTGATTCCTTTTTACGTTTCTTTTTCTCCAACCTTTCCATAGGTTCGTCTTCAAGTGGTTGCGAAGATGAAACAGATAACTGACTACCACAACTTGATCGTGATAATTTTAATACAATACGTTGTTTAAGACCAGAACTATCTTGTTTAGAGGCAGCCATAGAATTAAACTTAGTAGCATCAGATCTTGGAGATTTATTATAAGGTAGATCGGTGCTTGCGTGCCCATGAAATTGTGAAACAGGAGATCTTTGATTCTCATAAGATAGATGATGTTGATGATGATCTGATACATCTGTCGGGTCATGCGAACTTGATCTTGATGGACTTAACTGTGAAGACCATGTGGATGGATTTGGTGAAGGTACATGACTATCTTCAGGACTATTTATAGTTCCAGTTATAACTGGTTGTATAGGTGGTGGTGGCGGTGGAGAGATTACCGGAGCCCAATTTCTACTTTGTTGTGCTTTTTCCAACAACAACTGAGCTTCATGCAATAATTGTAGTTTTTTCTTATGTTTTTGAGGTAGATTTTGATTGGTCAACGATCGATTCGAGGAAGGTGATGATATCGGTAAACTATGTCTAGCATTTGAATTTATTAATAAATTATGATTTTCCGGTGATTTTCTTGTTAATTCATCACTATGCATAGTCTGATAATTTGAGCTTGAGTTTGTATATGCATCAGATTCTTGGTAATTATGTGCCTTCATTTGATTTGTATAAATAGATGGCTTTTCCTGATACAATGCAAATTTTAACATAAAGATACTTTCAGAACGAATGAAACAAAAATGAACATATATTTTGAATAATTTATCATTTGTCAATTATATCAGTTGAAAAACCTTTAAAAACTAAGAACCATTAGATAATAGGTGTCGTTTTTGTTAGGAACTTTTCAGTAGAACATGATATATTCATAACCTATAATCTGAATTATGTACTTTGTCAAGGAAGACTTTTTCATGTACGTATTGTGAGTAGATGAGGGAGTCTCCATATGGGAAATAAATCCTTGAGAAAACACCCAAAGAGCTCTTTTTAGGAATATATCCATCATGAAATCGGATCACAATTCAGAATGTGGACAGCTCTGACGAAAACTACGTGACGCATTTAGTTCAAATGGCAGCTTTAGACAATTCTTTTCACCAAGTAAAACACGTGGATTTGACTGGATGACCCTAATTATACAACACTCTAAAAGTTAAAAAATCTGCTTAGCTGGAATGAACAATCGGTACAGTGTCGTGAAATTTACTACCTTAGTTTACAAAAACTCGTAAGTGTTATCTTGCCAAAATAATCTGTTAATATAAACAAAATAAAGTAATACGCACCAATTCTAAACTAGCTCAAAAGGAACATAATCATTGCCAGCATCCACAAGGACCCTTTAAAATTGATACAAACAATCAACAAACTATTCATCTGAATATAACTTGTACAACTAACAGTTGAGAACAGGGAAAACTGAAGATTTTGGATAAATGCATTCTCCGACAGAAATGTCGATAATTCGTCAAAAATTAGTGAAAGTGAACAATAGTCAGCCTCTTATTAGTAACTTGCTTTGAAAGGAACTTCCAAACAAAGTGAAAAAAATTATTTCGGCAAGCAACTCACAAACAAAGCCAAAAGTAACCTTTTATAAAAAAGCATTAAATGATAGTATGTGATGATAATAACGATATATTTTACACACAGCATATCTATATCGAGTAGAACAAGTTATTATTCTTTTGATAAGGTATAGCGAATTAGACGGATGCACACATGTTAGATTCTATGTTGTATATGACTGACTGATTTGACAAGGTCATGAACTGGAATACTGTTAGGGAAAAAACATTTAGTAGAAATCGACGGTCACAACATTGAATACTTACTTTACCAACTGATTTGGTAGTTGGTTCTAATTCCGGGTAAAATGAGAATGGATGAAGTGATTCTAGGTCAGAATATGACTGAATAGTTTGAACGATTTCATGTACAGTAGACTGAGTTGATGTCCGCGGTATAGCAATCTAATACGTAACAGAATAGGTAGAATACGATTCATTATATTTACATATATTGAAAAATTGTGTAGAACATCATATAAACTCGTTTTATCCACGGTAACTAAACGATCTACTTTCACTTGACACTCTCGCAGTGTTTACCCAAACTTGAGGAAAATGAAAGCAAAAAATTATAATTATTAATAATGAAGTGACAATAACTAGTTTCTTAAAATTAACACAAGAATTACATAGCTTATATTAAAAAACATTTCTGAAGTTGATGAGAATAAGAAAGTGACGTCGAATGAACTGTTACGTTCTAATATCAATAAATTGGAAAAGAATTATGACGATCGGTTACTAGATAGGATCAATTTAAAACGAATTCAATCACACACCTTAGTTTCTGTAAACAAGTGTAGGTTGTAGTAGATATTAATCATTCATATGCTTTAAATGAAATTCCTGTTTAAGTGACCATCGAAAAAGAACAGTTATCAGTTGTCATCATACAGAGAAATAAGACTATACACTTTGATTTTATAGCGATAAACAATTACAACTCAAATTATAAATGTTTTGCCAGTTTATATCTCTATAAACATCATTTTTTGGTATACCAATCTAGAAGCCATTTTTACAGATATTTTCATAAAGACAACTCACATGAGTAATCTGTGAAAACAATTTAAACCATGACAAAAGTTAAACACAGGGAAATCCGAATCAACCAACTCTCATTATTTCACCAAATAAATAATAGTCTTTCTGAATATTCGTGAAAAGCACACATACACATACACACAGAACAGATTCTTGCAATTAAATTAGTAAACTCTTAAAAACAGATAGAAACGTAAGAAATCTAGACGACTTCTAAGAAGAAAATCTACTATACAAACAAGTTTTCTCTCTGAAATAACGTCACACATTTAGAAACTAACAATGTTTCAATATAGATCGTCACTGCATCAATACGAAACAAAAGAAAATACTTCTATTTGAAGTTGATGTTGTTCAGAAGAACAATTAAAGCTTCACAACCAAAATATCCAGCTGAGAGAACGAAACTCCAACACAAAGTACAAATACTTTTGATTTATTTACACTTGTTTTTTTTTGTTTTAAAACCTCAACATGTGATCATTTAAAATTTTTACATTTGTAAGGAGAGGAAAAATTAACGTTGTATTACCATCGCCTGTACTCAACATTTTATGGCTATTTTGTTGATTAAGTACAGAAATATAAATGCAGCAGGTGTATAGAAGGTACTTCTATACTGGTCCAGTTTATCATATAAATTATTAACTTGCTTGTCAGAATGAAGCGTCAAAGTGCACACAATATATGAAGTATTTAAGACATTAAATACCCGAATAGGATTGAAATAAGTTAATGATGATAAAATCGAATATTAACAGGAGTTACAGGACTAACTTACTCCGCCAAGTTGAATGAGTTTATTCCAATCTTCAGGAGCCGGATCCATTTGTATCGTACGATATGTGTGTAAGGCATTTTGATCGAAAAGTGTTAAATCATAATAAAATGTAGTAACGCAGTCGAGAAAGGAGACTTCGATTTGTAGCTGGAATGTCCCAAAACCATCTTCTTCTATAGCGAAAGGAGCTTGTCGTACAACTATCAATAAAAAAACATGTAGTTTATCAGAGACCAAAGTTAAGATATAATAGTAAACTCGAATATTGTAAGAGTGATTCATTATATTCTAGCCTACCAAACGAAGTCTGACATGTGATACTCAACAGAAGATATCAAATAGTTACTCCATGAGCACTATGAAATCTTGTGTCAAAATAAATAGAATTTTAAAACAGGACTGAACGAAACGTCGTTTTAGTTTATTTTATCATGTATTAACGCTCGGAAGGATGTCATATTATGTCACTGAACTATTTGACAAATCCCCCCACAAAATCAGTGGTGAACTCAAATACATTATATTTAAATCAACTATCAATTGTGTGGATCTGTTGGGGACGTTAGATCCCCAGAACTCGCTTGATAAATGCCTTATTTTGGATTTTATGTCTGCGAGCATGGGCTGATCAGTTGACCCTGAAATTTCATTTCCCACCAGGAAAATCCTTGGCTGTGATTGGCTGCTGCATATTTTAGTGTGCTATTTGTGACTGTCCCAAGGACGTTTCTATGATGTATAAATAAACGAGATTTGTGTGCTTGATTGCATTGTGCTTGCTAGGTGTTTGTAGAATATACTTTCTACGCTCAAGACTTTCCATTAGTCAGCAGATCAGGGTAGCCTACCTGGACGCAGGTTCATTGTCTCGTTCGCGTTTATCGACTAAGGTGAACCCGTAATAGTTTCAAGCATACCTAGTAACGAACCTAACAGGATCTGTACAGGAGTGTCACTTTTCTGGAGCAGCTCCCTCCACACTCATTTTGCTTCACTGTCCCGAACGCGTAGAAAACCGACTCGCTAAAAGAAAGCTAACCAGAAAAAAACTCAAACCAATTAAACTCTGCTCTGGGAATTTCTAAGGTCTTCAGTTAAGACGTTTCAGGATGAAAGCTGAGTTTCTTCAAAAGTCACGAGAACGATGCTCCTTTTAACAACCAGAGCAATCATCCATATGGAATATTCAAACATTATGGTAAACCGCAGAACATTCAGGTCGCTGCGGAAATGAAAAGATACGACCTGGTGGTACTTAGAACCAGTGAAACATATTGGACACCGGTTGGAAAAAAATACTAGCTTCAGGAGATATGATGTTATACTCCGGCCATGAAGAAGAAGATGCCTCACATGCACAAGGAGTTTCACTGGTGCTGTACAAAGAAGCAAAAAATGCACTTAGAGGATGGGAATCTTATCGAACCAGGATCATCAAAGCATCCTTCAAGACAAAGAGAGGATTATAATAAAGGTCATTTAGTGCTATCCACCGACCAACGATAAAAATGACTATAAAGATCGGTTCTATGAGAGGCTGCATTTAATCTTCGAGAGATGTGCATCAGAGGATTAAACCATTCTGATGGGAGACTTAAATGCCAAAGTTGACATGTACAACACCGGATGAGGAGACATCATAGGACCACATGAACTGGGAGAAACGGACGACAATGGTGAGAGGTTAGCGAACATATGCGCTTTCAACAAACTAGTCATCAACGAAACAATATACCCACACAAACGCATACACAGAGCTACATGGGTTTCCCCGAATCGCATTACACAAAACCGAATCGACCACATATACATCAATGAAAAGTTCAGAAGGAACATGGAAGTCGTAAGAACAAAGAGAGGAGCTGACATAGCTTCAGATTATCCCATGATAGTGCCCCAAAATGAAAACTAAAGAAGCATTGGACAACTAGTCGAAAAGTATCACAAAGTTTTAATACAGTCTCTTTTCGGGATACTCACAAACTCCACGAATCCAGGATAGCCCGCAACAAAAAGTCCAGAGCATTTTACGATCTACTCAACGGAGAGGAAACTATGATGGTAAACAACTGGAAAGGGACCAAGGAAGTAATAACTTCAACATTTCATGAGATTCTCAGCCACAAGGAATGGATCTCAGTGGATATTCTGGATAAGGTTCGAGAAAGGAGGAAAACAAAGGCAGCAAACGATATCAGCTGAACAAGAGCAGGGAAAGCCAAGGTGCAAGCTGAAAACACAGAATCAAACAAGCAAATGAAGAGGAGCATCAGAGCTTATAAGTGAAAATATGTGGAAGACCTAGAATGGTAGCAGAAGAGCTGCGAGAGAAGGAAACGTGACCACTAAATGATACAACGAAGAGGGTTTTTGGAAAATATAGTACACAAGAATGACCAATAAAAAGCAAGGAAAGCACAGCAATCACCGACATTGAAAAGCAGTACTTTGAAGACCTATTGAATAGACCAGCTCCAATGAACACGCCCAACATCGAAGCAGCACCAACAGATATTCTAACTGATGTGATCCACCAACAATTGAAAAGATCAGCATGGTCATCAGACAAATCACGAGTGGCAAAACAACAAGACCAGACGACGTTTCAGCTGAGGCACAGGAATCAGACATAACAGTAACTGCGAAGATGTTCCACGCTCGGTTCAGTAAGATTTTGGAGGAAGAACAAGTACCGACAGACCGGAAGGAAGGACACCTCATTAAGATATCAAGGAAAGATCTCAGCCAGCGTGAGAACTACAGGAGCATCACTCTTCTCTCAATACCAGGCAAAGTCTTCAACAAAGTGTTGTTGAACAGAATGAAAGATTTCTTAGTCGCCAAAATTCGAGATTAACAGGCTGGATTCCATAAGGAACGATCGTGAATCGACAGAATCAAGACACTACGGATCGTTGTAGAACAATAAATTTAATGGAACTCACCACTCTACACCAACTTCCTTGACTACGATAAACCATTTGACAGTGTGGACAGGATGACTTATTGGAGGCTTCTTTGACACTCTGGTGTGCCTGAGAAAAAAGTCAACATCATACGGAATTCCTATGATGCATTAAAACTGCAAGATCACGCATCGAGGACAGCTCAAAGACTCGTTCCAAGTTAAGACCGGTGTCAGAAAAGGTTGCTTACTCTCACCCTTTCTCTTTCTACTGGTGGTTGACTGGATTATGAAGACGTCAATATCTCAGTGGAAGGACGGAATAATGTGAGTGATTCCGATGAAGCCGGACGATCCGGACCACGCAGATGATCTGGCTCTTCCATCCCACACACAACAACAAATGCAGGAGAAGATGGTCAGTGTCGCAGCAGCCTCTGAAGTAGTAGGTCTCAACATAAACAAAGGGAAGAACAGGATCTTCTGATATGATACAGCATACACAAAAAATCACACTTGACAAAGAAGCTCCGGAAGATATAAAATCCTTTACATATCTGAGCAGCATCATTGACGAGAAAGGCCGATTTGATGAAGATGTTAAGACACGGATTAGCGAAGAAAGGGTAGTATTTATACAATTGAAGAACATAGGAAACTCAAAACAACTGTCAACCAACACCAACCAACAAATGTCAAGACAGTTCCACTGTATGGCGAGAAAACTTGGAGAACTATGTAAACCATCATCCAAAAGATACAAATATTTACACAAGATACTGTAGACCGATTGGCCAGACACCATCAGTAACAACCTAGTGTGGGAGAGAACAAACCAGATATCAACTGAGGGAGATATTAGCAAAGTGTGAGAGGTGTATAGGACACATAATGTGGAAGACACCCGACTGCGTCACAAAACAAGCCCTGACATGGAATAAGTAAAACCAAATGAAAAAGAGAAACAATAAAGAACATATTATATCGAAAATTGAAAGCAGACATGAAAATAATGAACAGCAGTGAGGCAGAACTGGAAACGAAGGCCAGAAAAAGAGTACGTTGGAGAGTGCTGATCGGTGGCTTAAGCTCCGTAAGTGGTAACAGGCATCCGTAAGTAAGCGAATTGGTTCGAATATCAAGTGTAGTTGCGTTTAGAGAGAGCTTCATCGATTTGCCTTTCAGGATGATTGGAGATAGTGAGAAACCGTAATGTGATTGAACAACAGTTGAGTTGATCCTTGAAATGTTCTGCACATCCATCTAGTATACTGGGTTGCGTTTGACTGATACCACAACCCTTCTCCTTCGATAAAAAATAGAAGATGAGGCGGAACAGTTATCTACTGCTACCTATAAGCTCTACCTTTTCCATCACTCTTGCTTCCGCTACCCGCCACTGTTCGCGACCATCATGTAGTTGTTTATGAGCCTACGCTTAAGCTGACTCCACTTTTCGTCATGTTCAGAGCCAGACAGGATGAGCTTGCGAGCATATATCAGTTCGGCAGATGCTACTGAGATAGATGCACGGCTTATCCCTAACCTTGTGGATTACCTTGCTAGCAGATATCACTGCATTTTGCACAGCGTTTTTGATATCGTTCCAAGCTGCCTCGGGGTATGTATCACTTACTTCATAGCTGCCTAACTGTCTCTCTAGTTGTTCCTGATATATTTTCTTAGCTTTGTTATCATTAAGTAGAACTCTTATAGATTTCCTTGCAGCGTCTTTCCTACGTCCAGTAAGCTGCAAACAAATACTCGCTCGCACTAGAGCATGATCTGAAGCTGAAAAATGTGCCACAGAACGAGAGACAGTCCTCTATCGAACCCCTGCATCGATGGTTGATAGCGATGTGATCTAGTTGGGTACAGAGTTGGGACGAATTTCGGAGTCTCAATGTTGAAAGATGTTTTTCCTTGTGCTTAAAGTTATTATTATTTATTAGTAATAGGTAGTTATCTGAGTCTAGCTGCAGCAAGCGGTCACTAATAACCTCCACTTATTTGCAGTCAGTGGGACCGTAGGCAGGTATTACCTAGAGGCATTGTCGATTTGCCCTATATATCCCCTTTCTTTATTCTTTGTGAGCAGGCAACGTCGCTGCGGATTCTGGTTGTCAGAGGGAAACGCCTTACCACAGTCACACCCCTCTGCAGTCAGCAGTACGACTTCGCTGCTTTCAGTCTCATCGTCCTCCAATCGACCTGCCTGGCATGGTAGAATCTACAGGAACATATGCTCCAGCCAATATAGCCTTGCTTGGGTCATCACGATAGGCATGCCCGACCGCCATGTTAAGGTACCAGCTACAGTCGGGTTTATTTGATAAACTTTCAGTTTAAGCAGACAGGTAGAAAAATGTGGTGCGTGAAATAATTGTGCATCAAATCGAAAAGACAATTCGATAGATAATATAAAGCAACAGAACAAAAGAAATATATGAACATGGGGAAACGAATGACAAACAGATAAACACATAAAATAATATAATTAAGATAATTTGTAAGGTGTGAAATTGAAACCTATTCTGAGCCATATCACTTAAAGCCCTTAACAGGTAATTAAAATACTGAGTAACTCGATAGCTATTAAAGTGGAATTCAGTGACTTTATGGAATGATGAAATGATTCAAACTTACCTTTGCCAAACGATCCTTACGACTTTCAATATGGTACACCGAGATTAAAGATGGTTAAATGAGCATTAAAATAGCATATGGTTCTGTTATTGGGAATTCACAACTACACTGAGTGATTCCTTTTTATCTAAACTCTACATGTAACCCCAACATTGGTATTTTGCTAGCGCCAAAGTACATAAAACTTAGTTTAACGACATGCATAACCGAATACTTAGATTTTGATTGTTCCAACAAATTAAACTAAGTGTTCCATTACTGACTATGCTTGCAAATAGAGAAAATGTAGGGTGAGAATTTGGAAACCATGAGATGTTAAATAGCTACATTAAAATTTGCATCCACAATCTAAGATACATTGGTCGCTAATGGGTAATAATTAGAATGCCAAAACTTAAAAAATATTTCCTACCCATTTAGGCGGAGTAACTACAATTAAATGATCTAAACATACATATATACATAAAACAACCTCAAGTGGACACCTTGTCTTGGATTTTCAAAGGTATTATGTAGTTTAAAAGTAACTTTCTTCACGAATGTTGACAAAGGATAACGAGGATTCCAACTGTCTACATAACACCTCCAATGATGTGTTCGACCATTAACTGGTTTAGGCTTTCGTTGTACAGAATGACCGACTTTGAAAACGAATAAAATCTGAAATAAAATGTAATAACGAAATTTAAAAATTTAACCCTGAAAAAAATGACAAGATGAACACTTTAAAAAAAAATGAAAACTACGTATAACATAAGTTTTAGTTGGTTAAGGGATAATTTCTACGGGATATAAAAGCCAAGCCTAACAATAGAATTTTACAGAACATACAATATTTCAAATCTATAAAAAAATTAGTATACATCATGTTTACTTATAAAAAATGCTGCCAAGAGTTATATTACAGCCGTAACGAAAAACGGAATTTCATCTAACTGTTCATATGATACTTCTGTAAAGTGGAATCCCTAATTGCTACTTGCCTTAAACGACTAGATGAATTCTAATGGGTAATTAGACAAGATTCACCGTTTTCATTTTACGGAGAACAAGTCTGAAGTGAAACATAATTATCTGTGAAAAAGCTGGTCCCGTGAGTACTGTTTTCTTTTGATAAGGATTATGTGTAATCCTAAGGACTGCTTCGAAAGCTGTTTATGATCAAACAAGTAAATTGTTCAATTTTCGTGCCTTTAATGTTGGAGTGCAAAAAAGATGTACATTTTTTTATAATCTAAAATAAAGAGTGGAAAAATAAACAAAAACCCAAAACAAATATTATCATTTTGTGAACCAAGAATATAGGTAACAATCACGAACCACAAGACCGATAACTAAATCATGATAAATAATAAATCTATTTGTCATTTTCGGTACAACACTCAGAACCAGGTCACCGTATATTCTGAAATTTGATGAAAAGCGGTGATTTGGATTGAATACCAATAAAATGAATCTATAATCAAAAAGCTTATGAGATGAAAAACTAAAAATAATGTCCCACTCAACTAAAAACAGACATGTCAAACGGGTATCGACAAGACTATCATAAACGCCGTAAAATTCAGCCCACCTGATCAAGTGAGTACAAGCCGTTATCAACACCATGACCATCATTGACGTTTACCCATTTATAGTAGTACGAGAGTTATTTTGCTTCACCATGAAAACCAAACTAACAAACACAAATTTGGAAATTCAGGAAACTTTAACATCTCTCTCTTCTCCCTGACTAACCCTTCTCGCATTGCTTCATTACTCCTCACTGTGAAACGTTATCCCTGGTCTCCTGAAACCCCGTTCTAAACTACATGTTGGAAATTTCAATATCTGGAAATTGTGTCGAATAGGACAACAGGCATCCTTAACTATGACTTTAGAATCTGGAGCCATCGATGTAAGCTGCGTCTCCAAAACGTGCATACAGGACCCGAGTAGCATCATTCATTTGATTTCACCTCATCGAGATAAAGAATCAACTCGGATTACGCTTCATGTGTCTAGAAGCCTTATTGCTACTTCCCATGGCCTCGTTGGTGCATTTAAAGCATTGAGTCCATGGTAGAACAAGCACTTCTGGACTGGATCACTGTAGATAGCCGCCTGTGCACTATCTGACTAAAAGAATAGTACGGACTTGCAAACATACTGAAACTAGCCGTTGGCTGTTCGTCGAATTTACCTACGTTGCCACTTACTGCAGTTCACGCAAGGTAAAAGATGAGATTCACGGAAGCTATTCAAACCTCCTCCAAAACGTTAGGTGCTCTGATATAATAATAGTGGCTGGTGACTTCAATGCTCAAGTAGGTAGACTAGCTGAAAAGGAAAGACACATGGGTGGAACTTATGGTGTCGTGGCTCAAAGATCGCATGATGGCGACTGTCTGCCTCAGCTATGATCCGATAAGGCCTATTGTTAGTAAATACTAATAACTTTACGCACAAGGTAAAACATCTTTCAACATTGAGACTCCGAAATTCGTCCCAACTCTGTACCCAACTAGATCACATCGCTATCAACCATCGATGCAGGGGTTCGATAGAGGACTGTCTCTCGTTCTGTGGCACATTTTTCAGCTTCAGATCATGCTCTAGTGCGAGCGAGTATTTGTTTGCAGCTTACTGGACGTAGGAAAGACGCTGCAAGGAAATCTATAAGAGTTCTACTTAATGATAACAAAGCTAAGAAAATATATCAAGAACAATTAGAGAAACAGTTAGGCAGCTATGTAGTAAGTGATGCATACCCCGAGGCAGCTTGGAACGATATCAAAAACGCTGTGCAAAATGCAGTGATATCTGCTAGCAAGGTAATTCACAAGGTTTAGGGATAAGCCGTGGGATATTGTTTCGATGGGAAGAACACGTTGGCGATCAGTTCAACTGGCATTCAGCCACACTCCGGTTACCCACGATCTCCAGTCAACCTGAAAGGCGAATCGACGGAAGTCCTTCGACTCTTGATGAAGTTGAAAAAGCTACTAGAAATCTGAAGCGACGGAGAGGGCCGCAGGACCTGACAAGCTTCCGATTGGGATTTTTAAGGATGGTGGTCTAGTTTTAACAGTGAGATTGACTGGGATCTTAGGTAGAATCTGTGGACTGTGCATAATCACATCTGACTAGTGTCAATCACTGATAATCCCAGTGTACTGAAAAGGACAAAGGTCTCCTTGTGACAATCACAGAGGAATCAGTTTGACTAATGTGGTGTCTAAAAGTTAGCCTCCAAAATACTTCAACGTTTAACTAGAGCTCGTGAAGTGCAGACTAGAGGAAACCAGTCTGCTTTCCGGCCTATTCGTGAATGTATGGACCAAATATTGACTCTTCGTCATGTTGCGGAACACAGACACTCGTTCAAAGTCCCACAATAATAGTATTTCTCGACGTTAAAGCGACATTCGACTTTGTTGATTGTGAGGTTCTGTGGCAGTGTTTGTGATTAAAAGGTGTTCCAGAGAAATACCTTAATCCTAAACGGGCTCTCTACTCGAACACTACTGGTCAATTGAGAGGTTACAGTGAACTGTCATCGGGATTCATTGCATCAAGTGAACGTCAAGGATGTCCACTTTGACCATGCTTTTTTAACTTTATCGAATGGCACTAGCCTATGAAGTGAAAGAGTTATAGTAATTCTTTCATGACTATCATAGAGGAATTCCGCTTTTTGTAAAATCTTATAGGCAATCGTAGATACATGATTGTAGGCCTTCCTCTGATTGTCATACAGTAACTTGTACCCCACTTCGTATTTCTGTTAGGGTTTGAAGTAAATAATGTTTCTTTCGACCGGTGCGAAAAGTTGTGTAATCTAACCTAATAAAAAGTACTCATGGTGATGATTTATTGACACATCGTAGTCACTAGATGACATTAACATTCTTAAAACCAAAACACTAAATGTCTGACTGAACTATTATAGTTAATGAACTAAATTGTTGTAAAAGAGGCCCAACAACGTAGTGTGATTAGATATTCTATTTCGTCTTTTTAACCGATGATAATAGTTACGCAGCTGATCTGTCGCTTGGCGTTATTTGTAGGGTTCGGTTTATGATTATTATGCAAGTACAACTGTTTGAGGCTGGCCGCACTCAGTCTGTTTTTGGAAATTTTTAATGTGTTACCTATACTCTTCAAAAGACCCTACAGCCGGAGACGGTTGTGAAATTATGATCGAACGTTTCTAACCCTTTCCTTCATTCCTTGTGAGAAGGCAGCATCGCTGCAGATGCTGGCTGTCCGAGGGAAACACCTTAGTAATGTCAATCCGCTTTACAAGCAGCAGTACAACTTCGCCCAAGACATTCAGTAACTGCTTTTAGTCTTACCGTTCTCCATTCGCCCTGTCTGTCAAAGTAGGATCAAAATGGACGTATTTTAGCTAATACATCTCGGTTGGGTCATCACAATATGCAAACCCGACCAACATGTCAAGGAAACAGCTACAGTTGGGAATCCTTATGCACTGTTTTAAAAAAAGTCTAAGAAATCAATCAATCTAAAAGGAATAAATTGTTTTCATAGATTGTAGTGAATTTAAATTACTTTACTGACTTATATATATTCATATTTACAACAAAATCGCGACAAATTTAGTCTTAATTTTAACACCGGCAGTCCTCTATCAAACCACTCCATCGGTGGCTGATGGCGATATGATCTACTTGCGTCCAACGTTGAGACTACTTCGGGGGTCGCCAGGTCAAAAGATGTTTTTCCTTATGCTTAAAATTAGTGTTTGCTAGAAATAGGCGGTTATCTGAGCATAGTTGCAACAGACGGTCGCCATTGTTCTTTAAGCCACGAGACCATAACATCCACCTAGGTGTCTTTCATTTTCACTCAGTCTACCTACTTGAGCATTAAAGTCACCAGCCATTATTACTATATCAGAACGCCTAGCTTTTTGGAGGAGGTCCGAAAGCTTTGTGTAAAACTCATCTTTAACCTCGTCTGAACTGCAGTCAGTGGGAGCATAGGCAGATATGACGAAGAGGCAACGGCGTGTGTCCCTATCCTTTCGAATCCTTACTGTTCCGTTTAGTCGGACGGCGCACAAGCGACTATCTACTGGGATCCAGTCAAGGAGAGCTTGTTCTGCCCTACGACTCAATGCTATACCTACAACAGCGAGGCCCCTGGAAGCAGCATCAGGGCTACCGGATACACGAAGGGTAAATCGAGTTGCTTCTTTATCTTGACATGGTGAGGTCAAGTAAATGATGCTACTCGGATCCTGTATGAGCGTTTCCGAGACGCAGCATTCATCGATGGCACGACATTCTAAAGTCTTAGCTAAGGAAGCTTGTTGTCCTATTCGACACAATTTCCAGATATTGAAATTTCCAACATGTAGTTTAGAACGGGGTTTAAGGAGACCAGGAACGACGTTTCGCGAACTCGCATCGTTTGCATTAGCTTTGCACTGTGATAAATGAATGTGAGAAGAGTTAGTCGTGGAGATAAGAGAGGTGTGTGTGGGTGTAGGAAGGATTTGGTTTCGAACAATTTGGTCTCTCGTGCTGTTACGGGTATGAGGGCGGTTGTCACTTCCCGGCTGCCCACACCGTGGAAGGTTGTTTCTTGAGGTACCTGAAAAGGAAGATAGATTAGTGTTGGTCTTGGCGACCTGGGAGCGTGACCGCAGAGTCCAGCGGACAACTGCTTGAGTCCGGTCACGCACGGCCTTTTGATGAAAGGTTTTTTAGTATTAGCTCCGCTCTTGAAAGCCCATAGTGAGCACCCTTACCGACGGAGACGGATATCCGTGAGGTAGGGGAGGTGTGACAATTTTAGGGTCGACCTTTTCTAACCCTTCCTTCCTTGTGAGAAGGCAGCATCGGTGCAGATGCTGGTTGTCCGAGGGAAACACCTTACTGCTGTCACACCCCTCTGCAGTCAGTCGGCAGTACGACTTCGCCCTCAGACCTTGGGTAGTTGCTTTTAGTCTGATCGTTCTCCAATCGACCAGCCTGGCATGGTAGGACCTGCAGGAACAAATGTTCCAGACAGTATAGCTCGGTTGGGTCATCACGATAGGCAAGCCCGACCACCACGTCAAGGTAGCAGCTTCGGTAGGTCACGGTTTTACTCTTGTGATTCAAGCATGAAGTGAGTTTAGTTTTATTTTGCATTATAACACCTAAATATTTTGACCAAACTTGTTTAGTGACAATTAGTATATGGAAAATCTGTCATATTTCATAAGGTTTAAAATAAATTTTTGAAACATCCACATACCACCAAGCAATGTGACGGAATGAAATGTAAATAAATAATGACGAAAAATGTGCAAATCATAAATTTATTATCATCATAGTCAAAAAACTGCAATCAATCTTAATCTAATTGAGTTAGATAGATCTCTTACTTTCATAGACAACACAAAAAGTGATCATGCTGAAAAACGACAGAAATGAATGGAGATTATGGTCTAAAACAGCTCGGAAAATTTCACCAGGCTTACTTTTATGATTATTTGAAATGAAACTGGATACTAACAAAATAACTATGAGAAGAACGAATAATTTAAGGACTTTAAATTTAAATATGAGAAACCTAGTAAGTTTATATTTTGCTCAACTTAGTGTTTAGCAAGGCTGTTTTGGTAGAAAATGAGAGGCTTAGAACCCAGTCAAGATCGAACAAAAACTAATACATGTTCGCGTTTCAAAACAAGCAGTAGAAATCTGTAACCTTATAACATTGGAGGTCCTGAGTTTGAACCGTGCTTTATTTCGTTTTCGGTCCCGAACAGTATTATTAGCTCACATCTCTGGTTCAGTATCAATTATATAAACTTTAGTTTGGTCAAATAAGGGCTTATGAAACGCCGTAAATAAAGTTAGTTCATATTAAAATAACACAGAAGAATCAAGTGAATGGAAGTTAGAAAGTTTAGATAAACACCCAGAACAGATCCACAATTTATAAAAATTTAATAGAAGGAAACTAATTGCTTGATATGATCGATTCTACACCACAAGAGAGTGTGGTTAAAATGCTTCCCTTTGCCTTGTAAAGAAGACCATCTGGGCTTTATTACCGAAGTAAGAGGATAGTGGTTCAGATATGCGACTTGTATGCTGAAGTTTAATTAACCACTACCAAGGAAATCAGTCACCACAGTTCCATATTACTGATATCGACAGGACTATCGACAGACACTGACAACGTATTTAACATTTATTTCGATGTTAGTACGGATATGTGAAGCAACACTTCAAATTTTTTATATCTTGATGTGGATTTAGAGCTATTTCTAATACCGACTTAAACAATAATCTACAAATAGGTTGGGACAACTGGGACGACACTTGAATTGTCCAGAAGCCAAATCGAACTCCACTCATGCATGGAGTGCGAATCGCAAAAACTAAGAACTAAATAGTCTTGGCTACTTAATGACTTGTTTGCAAGAAGATTGGACGAAAACAAAATAGACTCTTCGTCTGAGTAGGAAACTTCAATCTGAGAACTCGTCAACATATCTCCAATATCTTTTCACGAGCTAGTACAAAACAAATGGGTCTCTTTGCTGTCGACTTTTTTTGTTTTTGTTTCAGGTATTCGGCAGTTTCTGATGGATGTTAGTCTATCCGAACGACTGCACTAGTTCTAGTCGGTTAACAGTTCCTTACTAACTTGTATGTTCGGTGATTTGAGTGAGTGCTTTTGTCGCTGGGTAGTCGCGTTTCCGAATACCAACAGCTATCATATTATCAGGTCGGAGATCAGTTAGCTCCAATATGGAGAAAACTCTAATGCTAATGAGATCTCAGAACCAAGTAAATAAATTGATAAGTTAATTAATTGGAGGCAAATATTGTGAGAGGACAGAAGTGTAAAGTTAGCGATATGAGGAAATGGCAACGGTGACAACTAGCGAGTTTTGAGATATGCGTTTGTCACAGCTAGTGAAAATCGGAGAAAATAATCAATTTATAAGTACGAGTTTATCAAGTCTCTTCCTGCAGCTATCCACCGTGGGGTTTGTCGTCAACCCGACTGGAAGAGTATCCCATGTTACAAAAACTCTCAATGAGAGGAAGTGTACACGAACCTGGGCGCACGCCCTTTGATGTAGAATTTCTCCAGGATTACCTCAAGAGGCGTGGTAGTGATGCTTCAGTAAGATGCTCACATTGGGATGACGCAGCGTACCTAATAAGTTGTACGCCTTTATCAGATTACCTCTTATTCTCCTATAACTCATGGTAAATGATCCCAGGTGCCACAGCATATTTTCTGACGGTTTTTTCTCTAATCCTATCACTTACCAAATCGCTCGTCTCAGCACATGATCCAGATTTATAACCCATATATTGAGACGGATGCAACTACGTTAAATAATACACCCATGAAGTTTCCAAACGCTACGCAGTCGTCACGTCTGACTCAAATTTGGAGACTTAAGCTTGACTAGTACATTTGTGCGATAATTTGCAAATTTATAAGATCAAAATTTAATATTGCAGAATTTGATACGTCAGTTACAGACTTCAAAAAATGTTACCACTTAAAACTCTAGTGATACACCTTAGATTGCTAGAATTACAGAATACTACCAATCGCCACAAAAAACAAACTTCAGAGATTACCGAAAAGAAACACTCACATGACAATTCATTCTTGTACCGTAATCACTCGAAACATACGCTTCAATATCCAATGTCTTTTTCACGAGCTAGTGTAAACCAATTTGATTTCTTCGCGCTCGATTCTTGTTCTTTCGATACGGTTCCAGGTGTTCGGTAATGTCAAATGGATGGAGGTTTAGCCAATCGACTGTCTAATTCTAGTCAGTTGGCAGTTGGTTGTGAATTTGTATGTCTCGGGATTTGAATGAAAACGTTATATTCAGGGCGGTAGTGTTTCTGGATATCAGCAGCTATCACATTACCAGACCGGCAATCAGTCAGTTGCAATACGGAGAGTAATAAGGATAATAAGGATAAAATTCTAATGATAATATGAATAAAATTTCAGAACTGAGTAATATATAGATGAATTTAGTTTGTTAATTGGTAGTGAGGATTGTGAGAGAGGACCGTAGTGTAAGCAAGGGGGAGGGAAAAGAGATAAGAGGCGAGATAGATTAAGTAAGTGATCTGAGGAGATGGCAATGGTAACAACTAGCAGGTCTCAAGATATGCATCATGAACAGCTTGTCCAAGAGGGAGATGATAGTCCGTATGTGAGTACGTGATTATCAAGTCTCTTCTTAAAGCAGTCCACTGAGGGGGCTGTGGTCACCTCGGCTGGGAGAGCATTCCAAGTTGCGACGACTCGCAATGAGAAAAAGTGTACACGAATCTGAGTATTCGCTCTTTGATGTGCAATCTTTCGAGGATTGCCTCAAGGGGAGTGGTGGTGATGCATCGGTAAGTTGCTCACGTTGGGATGGTTTGATGTGCTTAATACGTTGTACGCCATAATCAGATCACCTCTGATTCTCCTGTAGCTAAGGAGGAATAGCCCGAAATGCTGGAGTCCATTTTCGTAAGGTTTGTTCTTCAACCCTACCATCCATTTGGTTGCACTCAATCCAAGAGAATCATGTCTTTTTTAAGCAGAGGGGGTACGACGACATTGTGAACCACCAGATGTGGGAGCGCGTATGTCTTAAATAATGTTAGGAATAATTGTGGGGTGATAGCACCAAGTTGTCTTCGCATAAGGTGAAGAGTCCCATTTGGCTTGGCTGCGTCCCCTATATAGTTCGGGCTTGTGTGAAGGCTTTCAGTGGTTATTGAACCGAGATCGCGCTCTGAGGAGACATTAGGGAGCAGACTTCCATTGAGGATTTAGGTCGTTTGCGTCATATGAAGCAGGAGATGCATGACATAGAACTTCGGTTGGTTGAGTTTTAAACCGTTTTTCACTGCCCATTCCTCAATAGATGTACGGTCCTTTGAAGCTCAGTCGAATCCTCTTCGCTTCTAATGGACCTATTGATCTTCGCAACGTCTGTGTAGATCAATACCGGTGGGCTAACTGTGCCTAACAGGTTGTTAATAGACATCAGGAAGGGAAGTGGACCTAAGATGATCCCCTGTAAAACACCCAATGTGGATACCTGCCACCTCGCGTGCACTCTATTTACCTTGATGCGAAACTTTCTATTCTGAAGGTAGTTTTTGAGCCAAGATAGGAGTGGGTCGGTGAAGCCTATTTCTACAACCTTTTCGATTAAGCGGGCGTGTGATACTGTGTCAAAGGCTTTTGCAAAGTCGAGAAATATTACGTGTACCGGTTTTTTACAGTCCAAACAGGATGTCCAGATGTTCCATGCAATGTGAAGATTAGATGCACACTACCTGCCTTTCCGAAACCCGTGTTGAGCTTCATGGAGTATTTTATTCTTATCCATGTATTCCCTTAATTTTTTCGCCCACTAGTCCTTCCATAACCTTTGATAGCATTGGTAGTATTGCGACTGATGTGTACCAGGCTTGGTCCTTTCTATCTCCTCCTTTGAAGATTGGAGAGAGAGTGGCGTGTTTCCATTCAGCTTGGGATTCGTTTGACTCCAGTGCATGCCTGAAGAAGTCACATATCAATGAACAGAGGACTTTTGCACATTGTTGCAAGACAATGGGGCGGATTTCGTCACATTCTGGTGACTTGCGTGAGCGCTTACGATTTTGAAATTTCTACCCCAGAGATACAAATTAGCGTTTTCTGGTCAGAAGGTCTTCAACCTGTGATGCGTCTTTCGAATAAGTCCTTTAAGCTGTTTGTAACACTTTTGAGCTAGTCAACTGAAGGTGATCAGATCAGAAATTAAGGTAACAAGTGCTAAGAGATGCGATACGTTCGAAATAGTGTCTATATTCTGCAACATGACGAAGAGTCAATATTTGGTCCATGCATTCACGAATAGGCCGGAAAGCAGACTGGTTTCCTCTAGTCTGCACTTCACGAGCTCTAGTTAAACGTTGAAGTATTTTGGAGGCTAACTTTTAGACACCACATTAGTCAAACTGATTCCTCTGTGATTGTCACAAGGAGACCTTTGTCCTTTTCAGTACACTGGGACTATCAGTGATTGACACTAGTCAGATGTGATTATGCACAGATTGAAATAGTTTCGCTAACAGATTGATTGCTAGTGCCAGTTTCCTTGATAAGACGGAACAGTTATCTACTGCTACCTATAAGCTCTTCCTTTTCCATCACTCTTGCTTCAGCTACCCACCGCTGTTCGCGACCATCATGTAGTTGTTTATGAGCCTACGCTTAAGCTGACTTCACTTTTCGTCATGTTCAGATCCAGACAGGATGAGCTTGCGAGCATATATCAGTTCGGCAGATTCTACTGAGATAGATGCACGGCTTATCCCTAACCTTGTGGATTACCTTGCTAGCAGATATCACTGCATTTTGCACAGCGTTTTTGATATCGTTCCAAGCTGCCTCGGGGTATGTATCACTTACTTCATAGCTGCCTAACTGTTTCTCTAATTGTTCTTGATATATTTTCTTAGCTTTGTTATCATTAAGTAGAACTCTTATAGATTTCCTTGCAGCGTCTTTCCTACGTCCAGTAAGCTGCAAACAAATACTCGCTCGCACTAGAGCATGATCTGAAGCTGAAAAATGTGCCACAGAACGAGAGACAGTCCTCTATCGAACCCCTGCATCGATGGTTGATATCGATGTGATCTAGTTGGGTACAGAGTTGGGACGAATTTCGGAGTCTCAATGTTGAAAGATGTTTTTCCTTGTGCTTAAAGTTATTATTATTTATTAGTAATAGGTAGTTATCTGAGTCTAGCTGCAGCAAGCGGTCACTAATAACCTCCACTTATTTGCAGTCAGTGGGACCGTAGGCAGGTATTACCTAGAGGCATTGTCGATTTGCCCTATATATCCCCTTTCTTTATTCTTTGTGAGCAGGCAACGTCGCTGCGGATTCTGGTTGTCCGAGGGAAACGCCTTACCACAGTCACATCCCTCTGCAGTCAGCAGTACGACTTCGCTGCTTTCAGTCTCATCGTCCTCCAATCGACCTGCCTGGCATGGTAGAATCTACAGGAACATATGCTCCAGCCAATATAGCCTTGCTTGGGTCATCACGATAGGCATGCCCGACCGCCATGTTACGGTAGCAACAAATTGTTGTTGATAGCTACTCTATGTGTACCTGTAAGTCTAAATGTAGTTTTGTATTCCTTGGTAACCCACTCGTCAATCACTTTTGTTCAGTTTTATTAATTCATTAGCACACACTGTTACTAGTTTTGTTGATGTTTCTTTTCAGTATTTTTATTACGGAACTGATTAGTCTGACTAGTCTACACTATGATGGATATTGGATCGATAGTGTTAAGTAATTGGCAGTTAATTCTGCTCCGTTGCTCTCTTTTTTTCTGACACTGAATATTGTGTTCAGAAAGGTGGCGATGTATCTTGTAATTAGTCTCAAGATTTTCACATGTATTTCATCCGATCCTGTTGAGTTCTCGACTTCTGAGTTGCTTGGTGCCCCCAGTCCATCGTGCTGATCAGAGCCCAGAGTGAGTAACCAATATAGTAGTATTGCATTCAGGGTAGGTCCTACGTCTTACAGAGGTGTCTGTGTGAAACGCTTTTCCGCGATAGTCATAACTGGAGTAAAATAGCAATATCACCAACTTCTAGACCAACCAAAAGGTCGAAATATCTAAATCCTATGCTTCGTGAACCTAGTAACGAAAGAGTCATACCTTCACATTACGAACCCTGAATCTCTTATTAAAAAACTTCTCCTTCTTTAGCCAATACTGTGTATGACAACCCTTCTATCTCCGTTTGATGTACCGACGGTGAAACTCGTAGATATAAAAAGTACTGTACCGACATATACTGAAATATCTACACAGTGTAAAGCTCAGGTAATCTTGTGAGACCTAAATCTAAAATTTCACAAACCAAGGTGCCAAATGATTACCCGATACCGATCATAACGTTAATCACCATAACAGCGATATCCGACAGTTACGATACTCACTTGCCCAAATAACGATAAGCCTAACCAGTTAGCAACCCTAAAGCACATATGGGCCTAACATAATAATAGAAACTTCGAGCAACTAACTAAAGCTGAATACATCCTACAGTTTACAGCTGAGGAAGTTACGAAATAACAGTCTTCCTATAAGGCGACTGCATATCCCTGTCTTCAAGCATTTAGTAGGCTAAATTTTAGTTATTAAGTCATCCACCTAAAAAATATCTGTATCTGTTCGAATACAGCTGCTATTACGAAACCAGACAGTTTAACCATTTGAGCAAGGAAATTAGCTCATCGATCCAGTAAAATGACATAAAGGTGAATCCAGGTCTGACTCCTCGTCAACGTCGTATAAAACAGCAAAAGGGGACAAGATTGCATGGCTATACCACAGCAGATAATCAATCAAAGAAAACTCCCAATGCCATAACGAAAGATAAAATGCGTAGGTCAAGGACAAGAAGTGAGTGCGCGTTTTATAAATCACCCTGTAGATCTTGGTGAGTTGATGGATTCTAATTCTTTAAGTAAGCTACGATTTCCGATTGCAAGCTACAAACCTAGCACTATTAGTATACATAACCCAGGCTGTTCAAAATAATGTATCAGGAATATGTACTACAAAACAACACACCAGTAGCTGAAATTATTCA